TGCTGACAGCAGCTGATTGTACTTATATGGGTCCAAACAATATCCATAGTTTGTACAAAAATTAGAATGAGACAAAAAGTTTCCCGATGTGTCCATTAGATCATTGATAAACATAACTCCATTATTCAAACATGATTCCCATAGAAAAGGTTGCCCTTCGATTAGAACAGTAAGTCGTTTTTAATTCAGGCGATAGCATTTATATGATTTAAGTGCCATGAAGAGAAAAGTAGGTGGAAAAGAGAAACAAACTTTGCTCCTGATGATGTAATCCATGATAGTATATTCTCTGTCTTTATGAAGCAGTCCTTTCATGTCTGTTTTTAAAGTCGGGAACAGGGAAATCATCCATATTTCATTTCACAGCTTGAACTACAAAGGATTTGATTTTTGATTTACCTGTCGGTCAACACAAAAAGTGAGTGGGTCATAGTTTGTGTGCATCTGTCTTTGTTCTTTGCTCCGAATACTGTACAGTACAGCTACAGAACTGTACAGAACAAGAGTTTCACTGCGTGTAATGTGTATGTGACAATAATAAACGAAACTAAACTAAACTTACCAATTAAGCCTCCAGGAAATTGGAACCTATGGAAAATCTCTTGCATTAAAGATGGATAAATGATTGACCAAAACCAGAATCTCCTCACCTGGAAATGCTTTGTGCAGGACAAAAGGTTGCTTGAAAATGCAGCTGATTTGGTCGTGAAATGTCAAGTCCAGCTTCACGCATAGACATTGATCCAGGAGTCCTCTGTGAGAGTCGAGACTGCTGCTGTCTGAAGGGAACAGATGCAGGCTTCAAAAGGTGCTGAATTTTGTATTTCATTTGTAACAGAGCTGGAGTTGAGTTTTTCCAAATGGTCAGAGACAGTTTTATTTTGAATAGTTAACAACCGCTTACAGCACAATTTTAAGCTTGGCTGTGGCGTTCTGTTTTCTATGAAAGAGTGAGGCTCGTGGCTAAACAACATTGCTACATTATTAACAGTGAGAGTGATGAGTGAGGCCCAGAGCTGTATCTTCTGCAGAAAAACGAACACACTACCCACACACTGTATTTCACAAACATATCCTTGGATGAACACAAACATTAATTGTTCTCCTGTGGATAATCTGTGGCATGGATACACCCTTGCTGTGTTTATATCATTAACACAGCAAGAAGGTCCTGGCTTTGATTCCACCTCCAGACGTGGCCTTTCTGTGTGTTAGCGAATATGTTCAGGTTCTCCAGCCAGTGCTACGGTTTCCCATAACTCTAAAATCCTGTACAATAGGTCTGAAGGTGAGTAAGTGATTGCTATTTTGCTTTGTTCATCACCAATGGGAAAATATCAGTATTTCAAAACATTGTGAAGCGTTTTGAGTGACCTTGGAATAGATGACGTTCTTACTTATTTAGTTTTTTCGTAAAATTAAAATAATGGGGGAAAACAGCAATATTCTGTGAAGCTAAAAAAAACAATACATGTATTTGTTGAGTTATTGCATCACAAATGGTTGCTTTCAAAGGCAAACTTTTGCTTTTTGCGTTTGAAGTAACTTGTTTATGCTTCATGTGCAGCCATTGCATTACTATTAATAACCTGTGGCATAATCTATTACAGGGGCATTTGTCTTAATTTTCAAAGCTTCATGATAAAAAGTATGGGATTTACACCAAAGTATGTTATGGAGCCACTTAGGAGTGTTGTTTTAATGTGTTATTTTTCCACCCTGAGCACACATACGTCTCCGTCTGGCTTAACTCTCTTTGTGGCCATTATTGCCTGAAATTAGGAACTAATCTGGGTAAATATTCGCACACATAGAAGCGCAGATGGACTCCTGTTGGGTTTTGTCCAAAGCCTGTGAGAGTGATTAAGTGTTAAATGTCAGCTTCGAAGGAACTGCCGCATTTGGGCAATGGATCAGGTAAGATTCCCGAATAACTCCAGCCTTCCTTACTTGTCCAGATCCTGAGCCGACTGTAGCCGCCTCTGATCCCTGTTTTATTACATGGGGTTCAGCACGTATAGGTGCGTTTGCCTGCAGTACATCCTGAACCAACACATGTGCCAACTTTTGTCCTACATTTTAAACTAAACAATATGATGGAAAAAATTATACTGCATGTTACAACACTTTAGAATTCTCTAATCAGACGAGACCTGTTTAAAAAGTATTGATAGTTGTGCACCAATCAGAAAGACAAATGTGAGGGAAAATTGAATCTACAGTTGTGCGTGAAAGTTGACACTCCCAGTTCTTGTAAATTTCAGGTCCTCCTTGCATTGTAAATATGTGTATTTGACAATGTGTGCCATCACTCAATTTCTAACCATGAGTGAGAGGAAACAGCTTTGTCTTAATTATAACAATCTCCAAAAATAAAAAAAATAAATATAGTGTATACAGTTTCATAAAATATGAAACTGTATACACTATATATTGCACTGGAGTCTACATAAAGTAAAAAGTAGGCACACTATATATCAACACTGCTCTATGGTGATTCTATACCATCCCTCTCCACGCTTGGGTCCTTTCTAAATTATAGGTATCTTTGCTGATCCTAGAATTTAGCTTTTCTGGACGGAGATGTCAGTTTTTTTTGTGTGGGATCTGTATGGGCCAGTCCTCTCTGTTTCCCCATGGGCACAACTGTCACTTTTACCTTCCAGCCCCTCCCAGCCCCTCTCTCAGCCCTTAGTATTTCTCTGGATTCTCATGGTATTTTTTCTGAATGTACACATCACTTGGAATCGGCACATCCATCACAGCTTTCCTCTGCCCTTCATCCACCACCACTTCATGCCTTTTTATTTGGCAATAATCATCCTGTCAGTCTGTATCCCAAAGGATCTTTGTTTGTTAATTCTGTACCAGTTTTGGAAGTGTTCCCGATCTTGATCTTGGGGTTTCCAGTCCATACGCCGCACAGATGTTCCTGTGTACTATGAGTCTTCTCAATCCCAACAGTTTTCACCAAAATACAGTGCATTCTTTATGTTTATTCTCTAATCTACACCAGAGCCTGCATGTGTTTACTGAAACGGCCAGCACAGGAATGTCAGGCCTTGTACTTCACAAGTAGAGAAAATAAATATGGTTTTCAAGCACTGTGAGCTTGTTTTCTGCCTAATTACTCATCCTTTCAAGAAAAGAAATAAAGAGCACAGTCAGACCTCCTAAACCTGGCCTTTTGAACAAAGAGTATAAAAAAGAAATCAAATGAAAGGAAAACATCAAATATAATAATGTAACATAAAAATATTAACATATAACCAGCTTTTGCTTTTAAAATGGATGCACTCCCTGACCGACCGCTTGTGTCCGTGATCTTGTTCTTTTAGTAATCTCCCAAAGCTCATAACCACAGTTTTTATTTTAGTAATCTCCAAAAGTAGAGCAAGAGTGAGTTTGACGCGCACACCCAAGTCTTAGTGGCGTCGAAAATAGAGTAATAAAAGAAAGAAAGATGAGACTGCACAGCTTTTTCGGGTCACTAGCCTTCATTATGTCTGATGAAGGGTAGTGACCCAAAACGTCACATTGTGTGGTGAGAATTAAAATCACTCGGGAGCAAAAGTTGTGCAGAGTCATCTATCTTTCTTTTAATAATCTCCAAAAGCTCATAGTCACAGGTGTGGGTGGATAGGAAGATTGATTGAAAATGAAAATATAGAATGAAAAAAAACCTTTCTCTTTACTACAACACTTCTATCATTGATGATAAAACACATTTAGTCCAACCCCTACATTTGCTTTTGGAAAGTATGTGGCCTTATCGCTAAAAAGTAATGGGGAACATATTGTAGCGTAACTGCCCCATTTATGGAAATGATTTAGTTTATTTTACACTTCAAGCTTATGACAATTTCCTCCAATTTCCCTCCACACATTATAAATAAACAGTCCATGTTCAGAATCCTTAGAATTTATTTGGCTTCAAGAGGCCAGATTTTTTCACTCGTGGCCAAGGCTGTTCACATTTTTTTTAGATGTCCTTAAACATGGATGTACTGTATAACAAACATGGTGGATAAACATTTGGTGACCCAGGACACTTTGGTTTCAGGCTTACAGTAACCAATTTGTGTTTTTTTCCCCTGCCCAGAACTGATAAGGCTGAACAACAGGAAGATGTACGACAAACAAAACCATTAGCTTGTTTTCTGCTGGCTATAGACGGAAAGCTGCACCGTGACATACAAATGACATCCATATATTATATTACCAGTTCCCAAACACGCTGATAGAATCTCCTGGCTCTAACGCAGAAACATCCCTGTATCCACAAAGGTCAGCCTGCACTCACAAACTTTACAAATGAGAGGCTTCTGAATAAGAGTTCTGTATATTTCTATGTTTATTATCTGACCAAAGCCAGTTTTGTGAATGAAGATCGATTTATATACCAACAAGAACAAAACTAATATATGAATAGATAACTGAAAATGGTTTTATAAAGATTTCATTTTGGAACTGTTTATACAAAAAAATTGAACAGAAATATTAAATATGGCTTTGACCCTTTTTAAAAATAAAATAGAATCCACATTTGGCCTTTCATATAAAATAGTGCATATCAATAACTCATGTTATGTCTAAGTCCACAGCTCTGCTTGTGTACAGTATAAGTCTCTGTGCATCAGTGACATGTTAGTGCCTCATGAGCTTGGACTTTGAGGAGCACAGGGACGGTCTCCTGCTGGTGCCGAGTCAGGACTAGACATGGGGAGGCAGGTGTATGCCCCTAGAACCTGGATCAGTCATCCTAAAGATGTACTGGCCTCCTTTCATTTCATTGTTTAAGTCCAGGCTGAAAACCGTTCTATTTAGCTGAGACTGAGCTTTAAATGTTGAGTTACAATTCTGACATTGAGTATTGTTTTTATTGTTCTACCTCAAATGTTTTATAATCTCTGTGATTGTATGTCTTTGTAAAGCACTTTGGGTTGCACTGCATTGATTGTAGTTTATATATCAACGATTGAATACAACCAAAAAGCGTCCTAGTGCAGGATAAGAGTAAGAATTTGATCAACCTGCTGTCGTATCAGTGGGCTGATGAGATAGTGAGGTGGAATCTTCATCTGGAAATCTACAATATTTACAGAGTACCTGTAACAATATAATGTTATTATTTACTGCTGCACCAAACACAATATGTTCAACTGTAATATTTCTCACTTGAAATCGTCTCTGAAGTTGGACATCAGGTGCTGTGTGAGATGCTTGCTGTACTGCAGACTTGCCAGCAGGAGGCGGCATCGTTGAAACAACAGAACAGCCTGAGCAGGACTTGAGACATAATGATGAGAACTGGACAAGACCAGGACCACCTGTTGTGCCTGGTAGCCAAAGAAGGATAGCTGCAACAAGAGGAATATCGTTTGAAAGTAAGAATAAAACTGTATAGCGAATGTTTTTTTCTTACAAGGTGAGGATGGGGCTGTAGCACTTGAAATATCCAACCAACGGACAAGATACTTTCAGAAATGGAAAACTTGCTTTTCTGAAACCCACAGAGACATTAGAGAAAGCTGCTCAAATAAACATACCTAATTAATGTTGCATCTATACCTCTTGGCCTTGAAGCAGCAGTTCAAAGAAAAGTGAACATGCAGCATCCAAATACTCAATGAGACAAGTATCAATCTGTAAGATCAGCAGAATTATTTACTGCACTAGAAATAATGTTACCATCGTATTATCCACCTGAGGAGCATTTGGACTCTGAGGCTGTGGATCACAAACCAAAGCCAGCAGCATCCTGGAGGCAAGTGCACCACTGTGGGGAAATTGCAATGTTATGTGCCGTTTTAGATGATTTGAATGGATCTCTAGGACATAACACGTTACTTGTTTGCTGAGAGTAGAATCAGTCTGGCTGGTTCCACTTCTGTCTCTCTAAACATGACAGCCAGTGTCTGGATGACCAGGGTTCCCATCCTACAAGTAAAACAAATAATGTCCAACATTTACATTCAATTCTGTACATATGTACATATGTACAGTACGTTTCTATCATGTATAATATGTAATTGCTGTAAATTCTATAATTGATTCCTGTTTTAGAATTGGTCCCCGTGACCCGGCATCGGATGAAGCGGAAGAAAATGGATGGATGGATGGATTCCTGTTTATAAGCCTGAAATGAATTAATCAATTCTAAAATGCAAAAATATGTCCAGACTTAAAAGTAATTAACGACACATAGAGTGGAAACTAGAAGTATATATATGTAATATGTAAAAAGAAATATGATTTAGTTTGTATGTATTTAGGGAATACACAATAAGTTATGTATTGTGGCTCAATGCCAAAATAAGGAGAATAATATGTATATAATATACATGTATATATAATATACATATATATATATATATATATATATATATATATAATATATATATATATATATATATATACATATATATATATATATATACATATATATATATATATATATATATATATATATATATATATATTATACACATATATATAAATATATATATATGTGAATGTCTTTACAAGAAAAATTAAAAGCACAGAGTGTCTGGGTCAGAGATGAGTGGCGAGGTGTAATGCCAAGAGGTCACAGAAGGATATGCTGCACAGTATCTGAAAGAGGATTTCGTTTCTGTGTTCTAAGTATGTTGTGAAATCCAACAGCACGCATAGTAGAGTAATTACAGGAGGTTATCTGTTGTGTAAACTGCGCTCTGATCCCCAGGGAGGCAATCCTCAAGAGTCTGGACCAGGAACGGACACAACGCATTGGACTATAACAGACAAAAACAGACACCATCATTGAAGATTACAGACCACTGTGCAAAACAGTACAATACATTAATTTCATGGACATCATACCTTCCAGAATAGTCTACGTAATGTGATGTTTCTATGAGCAGCTGTGCACAGCTCCTGCAGTAACAGATACAGCCTCTCCTCTCTGATGCCCTTCTGCAATACTTCAGTTTGTAGCTGAGAAAACAAATGGGCCGTCTGCTCCCAGCTGCACGGAGGACCGTGGCTGTGATCATTTGAAATATATGATTTAACCAAATTTACATTTATTTACCTAATGCGCTGAGGATAATTTTCTGTTGACAAACAGGGTGAAGTACAGTACTTTCTACAATGTATTGGGTCTAACATCAGAGTGGACTTCTGAAAGGAAGTAAAAGATGGCTATGAATATACAGTATCTTCGGTAAATTGACTTTCCTTTCTTCTTTCTTTTACAATTTCAATAGACTCACGATGATGAAGCTGGTCCAGGAGCTTTGAAGATTAACATAAAGTGTGGAGAATGGTGAAAGTGCATACAAATGTAGCTCAGCTATGTTTCCCATTTTGTTCTGTTTAAAAAGACGTGAAAACAACAAGGCCATTCTTCTAGAAACCTGAAAACGATATGTGTAAATAAGTGAGCAGCATGGTAGTGAGTTGGGCAAGGCCCTCTGGTCATACAGAGATTGATGTAACTACTAAGGTCACTAATTACAATACCTTAGGAGATGGTGAGTTTGTAGCATGCTGATGAGAGCTGAGTGGATACATCGAAGCTGAGGAGTGTGGTCGTTCTGGAGGCTGAGGGACCAGACCCAGCAGAGTCTCTCCGTCAGGGCATGAGGCAGAGCGGGTCGGCCTGGGAGTGCAAACGAGGATTGATGAATTATAAATCACATATACATGGGAATTAGATCACAGTACCTCCAAGATTCATTTATTATTTTTGTTTCACAAACAAAAACAACAAACTTACACAGCCTAAACAAGTTGAGTTAAAAAACCTATAGACTAAACAACAACCATTATTGAGCTCAGCATAAGATGCTCCTTTTCTTTCTAGTGGTCAAAGGCAGTGAACAGTGCAAACATGTTGCATGACAGTTTCTAGAGAATTGGTAGATGTCTTCTTAGAAACAAGTGGCCTTGCAAGTGATATCTTTGTCACACTTGAATGTCACACTGTTGGCTTGCACACCCAGCACGCATTTAGTGTCTCCAGTGGCTCATAAGTAATTCAACCTTTTCCTTACTTTACCTGACTGGTTACACTGCAGCCTAAATTTTGTAGCTAGACCTCCTTCCGTGTGACACCATCTAATAAATGTTTTATGGATAACGCTTTTGACTGTCTCCCTGACTCCCAGACACAATCCACAGTTTGGAGTCGAAACTTTACAACACTCATTAAAAAGTCGAAGAAAAGAAAGCGATACTGTTGAAAACCTTCTGGCATTTGTAATTTTCTATCAGATTCCAGAACTGTAGCAGCAACAGCAAAAACTCACGTAACTCTTCTTCTGTGAGGCTTAATCATGAAGCTTTTCTTTTTTATTTTATTTTATTTTATTTTTTTTATTTAACACCATGTGATACAGATTCCATAAAAACATAAATTACTATGTACAACATAGTAGTGCAGAATATATTGGTGGGGGAGTTCCAGAGCATGAAACAAAGAAAACAAAATACTTAATAAAAAAATAAAATAACAAGCAAGTACTGTCGTGGAAATATGTAGGTGCTAATGTGTAAGTGTTAATGTATTTGAGTGTTTGTGTATATGTATAAATATGTGACCATATGTGTCTGAAGAAGAAATAGAAAAACAGAGCAATAACAGTAAATAAAACGAAAATAATGAGTGCTGCCACCTGCTGTCTCCACAGATCCCAGTAACGTATTTTGGCTGTTTATGTGTATTTTTTTTGCTTATTTTGTATTATTATTATTATTTGTATTGTTTCATTTTTTATTTTTTTTTTGTGCGTGTCTAGTGCATTAAAAACATGCAAGGGTAATTTTTTTTTATTATTTTTTTTATTTTTAGTCCTGTCATTGTTGGGGTCTCTTCCAGCAATAGCAGGGCCACTTCCTTGTTTAATCTTGTGTGTATTGTATGTGTGTGTTGAGCGTGGCTTATGTTATGCATTAAAAATCCAGGGTTCTGTGGGAGGTCTGCGCTCCAGGGGAGTCACCTCTAGAGCGCATGCCTCCCCTCCTGAATGGCCTGATCTAGTAGGTGTGAGTCTGTTGTTGGGTTTTTATCATTTTTTCAGTTTTGTTTTGGTAAGAAGAGCTTTGGTTACTGTGGTGACAGGGTTAGCAGCATAATACTAATGGTGTTAGGGTTGTGTGTGTGTGTGTGTGTGTGTGTGTGTGTGTGTGTGTGTGTGTGTGTGTGTGTGTGTGTGTGTGTGTGTGTGTGTGCGTGCGCGTGCGTGCCAGTGGATAGTGGGGCGACTTCCAAACACTAGTGATTAATATACGGTGATATTGAGGTATTTGATGAAGGGTGAGTTTCCGTGAAGGACAGTACGTTATCATCCTGAGATGATGGGTGATGTGAGGTGATGTGATGAGTGAGGGAGTTGATCCAGTGGTTGATGCTTATTGAGTTTTTGGTTTTCCAGTTTAATAAGATTATCCTCTTGGCGATAGCTAGAGATGTCAGAAGGCATTTTGTGTATCTGGTAGGTATGGGGCTGGTAGAGGTGGCGCTCAATAGACACAGAGATGGGGAGAGCGGGACTCTGCAGCTCAGGATGTCAGAGAGTTTTAGAGTGACTGTGTGTCAAAAGGATTGAACTGGTGTGCATTCCCACAGTGCATGTATGTATGTGTCTGTGGAGCCCATTGTGCATTGAGTGCATGTGCTTGTGTCTGTTAGTCCCATTTTATGCTTTTTGTATTCAGTTTATATGTGTTCTGTGAATAATCCTGTATTGTATCATTTGTAAATTGGTGTTTGGTGTCATGGAGAAGGTGTTGGTGCATATTTCTGTCCAGAATTCGGGAATGATGGATGAGTTAATGTCCAGGTTCCATTTTTCTTTTGGGGTGTGTATTGTTTGGTCTGTATTCAAGAAGTTGTGTAGTTTGGATATTAGTTTTTTCATAGTTTTAATGTTTTTTATATTTTCAATGAGTTGGGGTGCAGTTAAGGGGTTGTGCTGTATGTTCATCTTGCCTTTGATTATGGATTTGATTTGGAAATATTGAAATGTGGAGTTTTGGTTGAGATTGAATTTGTCTGTTAGTTGTTTATATGTCATAAATGTGTTGTTGTTGAATAGATGTCCGAGGTGGGTGATTCCTTTTTGTTCCCATGTTTTGTAGTGCAGTGGTGTGTTATTTGTGTTAAAGTCAGGGTTGTGCCAGAGAGGAGTGTATTTGCAGGGTGTAGGTGATGAGTTAGTTAGTTTTAAAGCTTTCCACCAGGCTGTCAGAGTTGTTGAGATAGTTATGTATTTAAAAGAGGTATGTTTTTTTGAGTTCAGTGTTCATTGCTGGTAAGTCTGTCAGTTGGATGTTATGTAAGATAGATTGTTCGATTTCTGTCCAGGAGTTATTGTGTGTAGGCTTTATCCATGTTGCTAGGTATTGTAATTGGTTTGCAAGGAAGTAGTGTGTGAAGTTGGGTGCGTTAAGGCCGCCCTGTGATTTGGGCTGTTGTAATGTTGAAAGTTTGATTTTGGCTTTTTTGTGTTTCCAGTAAAATTTTGATATGAGTGAGTCGAGTGATTTGAACCATTTATCTGTGGGTGTGACGGGTATGTTAGAGAATAGGTAGTTGAATTTTGGAAGGATCTTCATTTTTATTGCAGAGACGCGGCCGATGAGAGTGAGTGGGAGGTTTGTCCATCTGTCTAGATCATCTTTTATTTGGTCAAAAACCGGGGTGTAGTTTAGTGGGAACAACTCTGACAGCCTGGGGGAAATGTGGATGCCCCGATATTTAATGTTGCCCGTGTGAATCCCAGATGGCGCTTGGGACCAAGCGCCATCTGTCAAGGGAAGTATTGTAGATTTATTCCAGTTTATTGTGTAGTCTGATATGGCTGAAAAAGAGTTTATTATTTTGAATGCTTCATGTATTGATTCTGTGGGGTTTTGGAGGTATAGGAGGATGTCATCGGCATAAAGGCTTATTTTATGGTGTATATTAAGGGTGCGTATTCCATTGATGCTGTTGGATTGGCGTATGGCAGTTGCTAGTGGTTCTAAGAATAATGCGAAGAGTGAGGGAGAGAGTGGGCATCCTTGTCGTGTTCCCCGGTGCAGTGTGAATGTGGAGGATGTGATACTGTTGGTTGTGACTGTGGCCCTGGGTGAAGTATAAAGTATTTTAATCCATGAAATAAATGACTCCCCGAAGCCGAATTGGTGTAGTGTGTGAATCAGAAATGTCCAGTTAACTTTATTGAAGGCTTTTTCTGCATCTAGTGATGTTATGACGGTGTCTGTATTTGAGTGTTGTGAGAGGTTAATGAGGTTGAATAGTCTGCGGAGATTGTCTGAAGAATTTCTGTTTTTTATGAAGCCTTTTTGGTCTGGATGGATGAGAAGCGGAGTGACTTGTTCTAATCTGTGGGCTAGAGCTTTAGTGATAATTTTTAGATCAGTATTGAGTAATGAGAGGGGTCTGTAGCTGGTGGGTTGGGTGGGGTCCTTATTTGGCTTTAGAAAGATTATTATGCTGGCTGTGTTCATGTGTGGTGGGATGTATGAGGAGTTTTTTATTTCGTGTACAGTGCGGATGAAAAGTGGTGACAGTAGGTTCCAGAAATGTTTATAGAATTCGGGTGGGAAGCCATCTGGTCCGGGGCATTTGTTGTTTGGCATATTAGTGAGGGCTTTATGAAGGTCAGTTGAGGATAGTGGGGCGTCTAGCATTTGGGCTATTTCTGTGGGGAGATGTGGCAACTTTAGGTGCTGAAAAAAAGAGTTGATTTCTGTAGGGTTGGTATTTGTCGTGGAGGTGTAGAGTGTTTTGTAGAATTGTTGAAATGTGTCATTGATTTCCTGAGGGTCGTGAGCGATTTGTTTTGTTGTGGTTTGTATTTCCTGAATAGTTGATTTGTCTTTTTTTCTTTTCAGTAAGTTGGCTAAGTATTTTGGTGAGATGTTATTTGCCTCTATAAGTTCATCATGAAGCTTTTCTATCAGATTCCAGAACACTAAATTAGAATGACCTCTTCTTGTGTGAAGCCTGACATGTCTTTGTGAGTTGTGGTGCTTACCTGTGAGCAGCATGCCCTGTGGAGGTGAGGACACAAGGCAGTTAGTACAGGTAAAAACAGACTAAAGGTAGGAGGGAAATGAACAGCTGGTTTTCAGATTAATTTTATGGAAAGATCACTACCAACTTCCTATGTGTAACCCCTTACCCCTAACCCCCTGATTATAAGGGGCTTTAGATTAAAGCATAACAGATGAAGCTGGGGTACCTAACTTTCAAACCACAAATAATAGAACCATATCATAAAATCCACTAAAATACCATTTTCAAATATTTTTGGCCTCAAATATTTTTAGACAGAAGAGCATGATATTTGGTCTGATTTTTTCACATTATTGTATTTTTGTTGACCACAGACTCTTTCTGTGGAGTGTGTTTCATGAAATAAAAAGTTAGGTACCCCAGCTTTGAATGAACTGAACTGAACTGAATGTATTCTATTAGTAGTGGCTACTCCTTACCTTCTGATTTAAGTGTTGGAGGACGTTTATTGAACAGATGATCTTCATGATTTCTCTTTGAGGCAGGTTTCTCCGGGACATAAATCACTTTTATGTGCTGGCACAGCTCCCTGTCTTTGCCACTGAGGAAATCTGGGTGGTCATTGATCTACCAAACAATAACGTTCAGTGTTGCGTAAAGAAAAATTGTACAGAAAAACAGTTGGCATGAAGTTTGTGCTTCAGTTGGCTTTATTTTTAGGCCTGCACTGCACTTTGACTTAGCCAAACAGCAGAGCAGTCAAAGCTTGTAGTAAGTGTAATCCAACAAGGATCATCCTGCACAAACCACTTACGTGACATGTGTTAAGAAAGAATCACTCAGATTTTGACGGGAAATCTCCCATCCACATGTTTTTGTGCATGTAATGAGTAAATGTGACCCACGCACGCGGCATGGCTCAATGACAGTGTGACCTGCTGCTTCACTCACCAGCTCTATGGACCTCACAGAGCGGAACCCAAAGGCACAGGTGAGCGTGCGCGGGGAGAACTCTGTGAGGTACACGCGCTCGTCGCTCATCACCACGTGCATGTACACTTTATTGAAGGAATCCGACTGAACCACGCATGGTTCATAGGTCCGGATTCGCTCGAACAGTGCATGCCCCGTATTCCGCTTCAGGAAAGAGTCCAGTCGGATGTTTCTGCGGTGGAGCAGTGTCCCAGGACCAGCCTGGGCCATGGCCTCAGAGAGCTGCGCTGCTCTGTTTCCATTCAAAGCTTATGAAAAGAAAACACTCCCTGACATGGTTCACCTGAAGCAATACTGACACTGCAGGCGCTAATGTAGGTTCTAATGTAGATTATGCAGCGCCAAGGCGCCTGTCGCACAGCTCTGTGATTGGTCTGTTCCAGGACAGTCGCTGATTGGCTCCAACGCTATTTTAGTGCGGGATGATGGATGACGGCAAATGAAGCGTGGGCATGTTTGTTAATAGTTCTTACCTCTATTCAAATTCATTAATCAATTAATCTTTGGGAACATTTATGGACACTGAAAAGTATGAGACCAGCGTGGACCAGCAAAATATGTTTGGTTCAGCAGGGTTCACTTTTTTCGTTTTGTTATGTCATTACATTTGTTTAACCAGAATGGTATATGCCGCAGATATCAGGGTGCACACTGCCGACTACTGGATTTGGAGGGTATTACAGCGGGCTTTACCTTTACATAGGCTAATTAGGTGAACTCTAATTGAAGTCCTGTCTTCCATGTAAATCTGTTCTGATACAAGCATACATGTTGTTTTAAATAGTTGATGTGAATGAGCAACTATTTACTTTTTCTATTGCTCAGCTTAAAACGCTCTGTGCAGCTGCAAAACAACAGTTGTGGGCTGTTTGTTCACACTGCCAGCTTTGTCTGTGCAGATGAACGATCACATTGGCCCCAGAGAGAGAGAGACACAGAAAGAGAGAGAGAGAAAGACACACACACACACACACAGAAATATATATATATAGAGAGAGAGATAGAGATAGAGGAGAGTGTTGAGTCGTCGTGATATCTTGACTGGAATAGTCAGATTAAAAACTTTCTGTTTCAATTGGGTGGCAACCCCGTTTTGATTTTGAGTGGGAGTTTGGATACAGCTTGGCCTTCTTGATTTGTCTGAATGAGCCCCAGAAGTGGAAGGATGACCGCTCTGAGCAGCGGGGAACTGTGCGTGAAATATGCGCTCTTCGTCTTCAACTTTGTCTTTTGGGTGAGTTACGAAAATGCCTGGCTTAAACGTTTTTTTAGTTTAGTTTTTTTAATTAATTGCTTATCAGTCCACTTATGTAGTGAAAGTCTTTTAGTGTTGGCTAGATTAATTGGTTAAAGTGTAATGGTTGGGGGGTTTTAATTGCCGAGGATGAAGTTTGTAGAAGTGAAAAGGGGACGAATTGTCTGATTATGGCAGATGAGAGCGATGGTGGTGTTTCCAAAGAGACAAAAACTCTTTACAAATGCAGTATTTATTAAATAAAAAGACAAGGATAAAAGTTATAAAAGTCCTTCGTTAAAACCCAGAAGCCTCGGATGTGGGGGCTCCGGGGGAATTGTGCCCCAATGGCTGAGGCTAACGTGGGCCAGAGGCAGGTAGACGGCGCTCGTCCCCAATGTGAATGGCGCACACCGCTTCTAGGGGGAGACAGCACACCGGCAGAGCACAGCACATATATGGGCCAAAGGCTGGAGTGTAAAACGTGTCTTGAACCGCTACTTACGGCGCAGGCGGGGTATGAGCCCCGCCGCTGCGTGTAGGTCGCTTCGCGGTACGTCCCAGTGACTCTGCGTCCTCGCTCTTTATCCGGATTGCAGCCCTCCAGCTGCCGCCGCGGATCCCAGGGCCGTAGACCTCTAGGGGAGAGAGCACACCGGAGCAGAACACAGCATACGAATATATGGCAAAGGCCACGGGGGGGTAAACGCGTCTTGAACCGCTACTTACTGCGTAGGCGGGGTATGAGCCCCGCCGCTGCGTGTAGATCGCTTCACGGTTCGCCTCTTTGGCACTCGACGGGTCCCGCTCGTGGTCTTCCTCCGTGGCCTGCTCTCGTCTCCGTGCTCGTCCCGTTCGTCCGTGCCCGTCTCTGCCCGTCTTTGTTAGTCTCCGTTAGTCTCCCGTTAGTCTCCCTTGTTGCTGCTCTCTTGTCGTTTTAAGAGCCTGTCTGCCCATTTAGGCAGGTGTGGTGATTGTCAGGGGCGTCCAGTTGGCTGGTGACAGTAAGGTGGTAGGAGTGGCTACGGCATGCGATTCATTAAAAGCACAACAAACACACAGCAATACAAAAGTAAAATAAAACCCGCACAATGCCGGCTTACACCCCCCCACACTTTTACGTTACCAGTCCCTGGGGACGTCCCATTGTCACTTAGTCATTGTACCGCGTAGGGAGTTGTCCAATGTTCGGCCGGATGGAGCGGCGGGGTAAAACTTGGGGCTCCTCCAACGGTGGTTCTGGTCCAGCAGGAAAGAATCCGTAGACAACTGGCAGTTCATGTCTCTCTATGGGTACTGGGTTGGGCAGTGACACAGGTTCATCAGGGGGCAATGTACAAACTTTCAGGGCATTCCTGTGCACAGTCTGTTCGCGCCCACCCTTTTCAGGGCGCACCGTGTACACGACCCCAGTATCTCCGACAGTGTTCAAAATAACATGTGGTTGAGGATGCCACCAAGTGCTCAGTTTACCCCTGCCTTCTCTTCGTCTATTCCGCAACCAGACTCGCTCGCCAGGTAAGAGAGGCGCAGCGTTAGCACGTTTATCAAACTGTCGTTTCTGCTGGGAAGTTGCACTGTCTGCTTTCTGCTTAGCGACGTTGTACGCCACAGAGAGCTTTCTATGGTGCTCTCCCACCCACCCGGCCAGATCGAACCGCGACTGTTGGGGCTGCGGGCCCAAAACTACGTCTACAGGGAGCCGTAGATGCCGCCCAAACATCAAAAACGAAGGGGCATAACCTGTAGCGCTATGTACAGTGTTGTTGTACGCATGGACTAATTCAGGTAGGTAGTCCTGCCAACGGTTTTGCCTTTCCTCCTGCAGGGAACGGAGCATGTGCAACAAGGTTTGATTAAACCTCTCAACACCACCATTGCCTGCAGGATGATAAGATGTGGTGCGGCTTTTATTTATGCCATACAAGGTGCACAGCTGTTGCATCAGCGCCGACTCAAAATTTGGACCACGATCAGAGTGGAATCTCAGTGGACAGCCAAATTGTTGAATTATGTCCTTCCACAGCATTCTTACTGTGGTTTGAGCCGACTGATCAGTTGTGGGGATGGCCCATGCAAAACGGGTAAACAAATCTGTGGCAACTAAAATGTTCTGGTATGTGTCTGCGGGGCGACCCAAAGTCAAAAAGTCTAATGCGATTACTTCAAGGGGGAATGCAGTAGAAATGGGGTGTAATGCAGCGCGTGGTTCAACGCGGCTCTTTTGAAGTCCGCACGCAAGACAGCCCTCATGAAACAATCGTACCTCCCCCTCCATGCCTGGCCAGAAAAACTGCTGCCTGATGCGGGCGAGAGTCTTGTCTGGTCCAAAATGGGCTCCAGCCTCATGAATCATCTTCCACACCTCTGCACACAAAGAGCTTGGGCACACGATCTGGTGGTGCTCCTCATGGGTGTGTCTGTCAAGCACAGTCCGGCACAATAGTTCATCTCTCACCGTCAGCCTCTGCCACTGTTGCAGTAACTTCTGGGCCCGTGAAGTCAATGCCCGGCGGTCCAGACGGCCTGGAAAGCGGTCCTCCATCACAAACGTTTTGACTGCCTGGATATCGGGATCGGATGCCTGGGCCTCTCCCCACTCAATCGCAGACGTCACCTCCACTGCAGCTGCATCCACCAGCTCATCGACGGGTGGTATGGCCTGTTTAACAGGAGCAGGAAACCTAGACAGAACGTCAGCGTTGATATTGCTTTTACCTGACCGATATTTGACCGTGTAGTTGAATGGGGCGAGTTGGGCCACCCAGCGTTGCTCCACTGCTCCTAGGTGTGCCGTCTGCAGGTGGGCCAGTGGGTTATTGTCTGTGTATATGGTGAATTCAGCTCCTATGAGGAAGTCTTTAAACTTTTCAGTCACAGCCCATTTAAGGGCTAGCAACTCAAGTTTAAAGGAACTGTAATTCGCGTCATTTTTCTCCGTTGGGTGTAGGCTCCTGCTCGCATATGCAATTACACGCTCCTGACCATCTTGATGTTGAGATAGGACAGCACCAAGCCCCTGGTTGCTCGCGTCTGTGTAGACTATGAAGGGCTTATCGTAGTGGGCATAAGCCAGCACAGGGGCCTGGGTTAGGGCATTCTTTAAGGAGTCAAAAGAACTCTGACATTGTGGTGTCCATGTTATAGCCCTTGATGAGGATCTGCGGTCAGCTGGTATACCAGTCAGGAGTCCATTAAGGGGCCTGGCAATTTTAGCAAAACCTGATATGAAGCGGCGGTAATACCCAGCTAAGCCAAGGAACGCTCTAACCTGCTTCACAGTGGTTGGGATAGGCCACTCCAGGACCGAGGCGATCTTCCCTGGATCCGGCCTCACACCATGTCCATCCACCACATGCCCTAGGAAAGTTACTTCTCTCTGCAGGAGCCTGCATTTATCCGGACGCAGCTTCAATCCGTGGCGCCACAGCCGCTCAAACACCTGGTCTAGATGCTGGAGGTGGGCAGAGAAATTTGGAGAGTAAATAATGATGGTCATCCAAATAGACTAAAAGGGATTCAGCTATCTGCCCATTTAAGCACTGCTGCATCAGCCTCTGGAATGTTGCAGGAGCATTGCAAAGGCCAAAGGGCATGCGTTGGAATTCATAGAGGCCTAGCGGGGTAGTAAATGCAGTCTTTTCTTGGTCTGCAGGGTGCATGCCGACCTGCCAGTAACCGCTGGCAAGGTCCAGGGTCGAAAACCATTCTGATTGGCCAAGACTAGTTAGGGTCTCCTCGATTCGTGGGAGGGGGAACGCGTCCTTATGGGTTACAGCGTTGAGCCGTCGATAGTCCACGCAGAAGCGCCAGCTCCCGTCCTTCTTTCGTACGAGGACAATAGGGGCTGCCCACGGACTACAGCTCTCCTTGACAACTCCCTTTTCCAACATGCTCGATAGAAGGGTCTTTACTTCTCTGTACAGCATTGGGGGGATTGGCCGGTGCCTCTCTCGGATGGGGGCAGCATCGCCCGTAGGGATTCTATGCTGCACCAGGTCAGTCCGGCCAAAATCCTCGTCATGTACGGCAAAGACCTTCTCCCACCTCTGCAGCAGGGCCTCCAGCTCCTCCTGCTGCACCTCAGACAAGTCAGGGCGCGTTTTCAGCTTGCTCACCTCTGGGGGCAACTCAGAGTTAGCCGCCGAAGTTGTGACATCTACCAGGGTTACCGCTACGACGTCGTCTCCCTCAAGAAACAGAGATGGGTCATTTGGGCCATGTACATCTGCCTCTTCAATATGATAAAGCTGCCCTAACCTCGTAAAACGACCTACAGACACACTGTAGGGGTGGGGGTTACAAATGCGAACAGGGACTCTTCCTTTCCTCACCTCGACCAGCGTTCTAGCCACACCCACACCACCAATATTAGCCCCAGGAACCGGCTCTATAAGGGCACAGAAATCTGTTCCACCCCGCCCCATCCGAGTACGACCCCACACCACTATCTCACTGTTTGGAGGGACTGAAATGTTATTCTTCGTGGCCAACCTCACGAAACCCATTGACCCGTCCTCTGTGGGGGCTACTTCTATGCGGCTGCAGGTGGCAAACGCCTCCCGCCACACTCTCAGATGTTTAAATTGTGGTGGGAGAGCAGGCATCTTTGACCTCTTAAAGATGTTATCCCAACAAGCCATGATGACGTTCATTCCTATAATTAGAGGGGAAGTACACTTATTGTCTGCAACTATGACCACTCCCCTCTCTGGGACCTTAATACCCTCAACCTCTAGGTTGAGCACGGCGTAGCCAATGTAAGGTATTTCTAGTCCGTTGGCTGCTCTAAGCTGGAATAGAGTAGGAGCTTTTCCTAGTTTATCTTGGGTAAAATGTTCCTTGAATAAACTCTCTGCCATCAAGGTAACTTGTGACCCAGTGTCTAAAAGGCCTTCCAATTGTACTCCATCAAAGCCTATTTTTACTGTAGGACATTTCCCAACAAATGTTTCAGTGGCCCTATTGGGTGGTGGGGTGTTAACTAGCCCTGCAGCTCGGACCTCAGCAGCAGGGTTTAACCGTTTAAAGGCTGCTCTTGGATGGATGTGCCTCTACAATGGCGAGCAATGTGTCCTGCCTTTCCACAGCGGTGACATATAGGCCTACCTTGCTCGTCCCGGTCATTATAGGGTCTCGGTGAATACCGGCGGTTCCACGTGGTGTTGGGGGGGCTTGACTGGGGAGAGGCAGACTGCAGCAGGGGTTTAAGCTCAGCGAGGATATCACGGGACAGCCCCTTCATTTGGACGTTCACCTCCTCCATGATTTCGCGCTTCAATTGCTCCTTCCAGTCCAATCCCTGTGGGGTTTTAGGAGAGTCATAATGTTTTTGAACTGAGGCACACGTTACCTCTGGTTGACCCCGGCCGTACTCAGTCTCCAATAACCTGGCCTCCTCACGTAGCTCTGTGAAATCCAGCTCTGGGTGACGGCGAGCATAGACCTTCAGAGCTTGGGCCAGTGGGCTGTCGCTCAAGCCTAGCAGCAGTTGATCTCGCAAGGCACTTTCGGAGGGGGGGTTTTCACGGTCTTGGCGCCTCAATCTAGAATAGAGTTCACGTAGCCTCAAAATGAAGGTTAAGACAGGTTCATCCATTCTTTGTGTACAGCCAAAAAATTGGTGATCTCAATACGGGTGTTGGAGTCTTCTCACCATATACTGAGTCTAGATAAACAAAAATCTTCCTTGTCTGGTCTCGCTCATCGTTTTCTAAGACAGTGATTTGCCGCTTAGCCTCCCCAGCTAGTGCCCCTATAATAATTTCAACTTGTCGTGCCTCTGTTAAATCTTGTGAACCCAAAAGCCCTTTTATCTGTTCCTTCCAATCAGAGTATTTCAAGTCACTGTCTGGCCCTTTAAATTTAGGTAACCACGGCGCGCCCGCAAAAATCGGCATCATCATCATGTTTGTCCTTTTTGGAAACACCAGCTCTCAGAATTGTGTATCCTGCCAGCAACGCCAAGTTATGTAATGGTTGGGGGGTTTTAATTGCCGAGGATGAAGTTTGTAGAAGTGAAAAGGGGACGAATTGTCTGATTATGGCAGATGAGAGCGATGGTGGTGTTTCCAAAGAGACAAAAACTCTTTACAAATGCAGTATTTATTAAATAAAAAGACAAGGATAAAAGTTATAAAAGTCCTTCGTTAAAACCCAGAAGCCTCGGATGTGGGGGCTCCGGGGGAATTGTGCCCCAATGGCTGAGGCTAACGTGGGCCAGAGGCAGGTAGACGGCGCTCGTCCCCAATGTGAATGGCGCACACCGCTTCTAGGGGGAGACAGCACACCGGCAGAGCACAGCACATATATGGGCCAAAGGCTGGAGTGTAAAACGTGTCTTGAACCGCTACTTACGGCGCAGGCGGGGTATGAGCCCCGCCGCTGCGTGTAGGTCGCTTCGCGGTACGTCCCAGTGACTCTGCGTCCTCGCTCTTTATCCGGATTGCAGCCCTCCAGCTGCCGCCGCGGATCCCAGGGCCGTAGACCTCTAGGGGAGAGAGCACACCGGAGCAGAACACAGCATACGAATATATGGCAAAGGCCACGGGGGGGTAAACGCGTCTTGAACCGCTACTTACTGCGTAGGCGGGGTATGAGCCCCGCCGCTGCGTGTAGATCGCTTCACGGTTCGCCTCTTTGGCACTCGACGGGTCCCGCTCGTGGTCTTCCTCCGTGGCCTGCTCTCGTCTCCGTGCTCGTCCCGTTCGTCCGTGCCCGTCTCTGCCCGTCTTTGTTAGTCTCCGTTAGTCTCCCGTTAGTCTCCCTTGTTGCTGCTCTCTTGTCGTTTTAAGAGCCTGTCTGCCCATTTAGGCAGGTGTGGTGATTGTCAGGGGCGTCCAGTTGGCTGGTGACAGTAAGGTGGTAGGAGTGGCTACGGCATGCGATTCATTAAAAGCACAACAAACACACAGCAATACAAAAGTAAAATAAAACCCGCACAATGCCGGCTTACAAAAGCATTACTAATACAATTATTATTTTAAGTACATACAATAAAATTATATATATAATTCACATGTTTTGTGTATTTGGCATAAACTTTAAATATTAAAGTGGCAAAACCTAATAATTTATATAATTTATTGTAATTTATACAATTTATTGACAACATCCGAGTTTAGCAAATAATACTACTACTATCGGTTCATGTGTAGAGTGGTGAGGGTGCCTAATGCTATTGTACAGTCCCTGGTTTGTCCTTACATTAGCTCAGTCAGGTTCACTTCTTTGCTTTGGAGTCACTGGCGTGCTTCTCTGTATGTGTGACTTGGTCTAAATATGTGAATATGTGATTACTATGTGTGTTTTTAACACTGATCTTTTTAAACGTTTCTTTCATTATTCTTAGCTATGGATCCTGTGCTTGCATGTGAGTCCTTAATAAAGTCTAAATAAATAATACATAAATACCTCCTTCCTTATCTCTCTTGGTCCCTTCATCGTCAAACTACAGTTGTGTGCAACAGGTCCTGTCTGACATGCGGTCAGTCATTCGTACAACGACATAAACACATGTCTGATTGTGTTCAGCTGGGACCATAAAGACCCCGCCCCATCCTCTTCCACAGGTGGAGGCTTCACGGTGGAAACGCTCCGGGTGTGGTGCTGGTGTGGTGTGGTGCGCAGAAAAAAGCAACAAAAGGATTTGGCTTCGCTTCCTGCTCAGTCACGTCCTAAATACGCGTTTGTCTGAAAACGATATCTTTTCTTCTCACAAAATAGAACTGTTTAACAGTTTGAGGATGAGTGGGATGCAGTGTATCAAGTACCTGGTGTTCGCGTTCAACTTTCTCTTCTGGGTATGTTGTTGTGGTTGTTGTGGTTGTGGTGGTGGTGGTTTGAGTGGTTACTGAAGATTAAACCGTAACTGTGTCTAATCTGCGGTTAACATTGGATCGGTGCCCCCAGCTGCATCTAATGTTAATCTTTATTTTCTAAGCTTTACATGTATTTTTAGCCCTGGAGGAATACTCAACTTAAGACCTGTACAAACCTGCGCTTCCACTACACCTCTGGAAAAACTAGTTCTGGTTCTTTTGAGCAAAGTGACAGATTGAGTCCTTTAAACCACTCTTGTAGTTGTAAATGCAGCTCTGTTTGAGATACAAGTAATGTTACTATAGGCCATTAGTCAAGTGAACGTCCAATGATTTAATAAACTCTTGTTGTTCTTGGCTTTAACCAATTAAAAATGACGTTAAGACTGCCCCAGAGCTGTAGTGATTGCTCTAGTTTTCAATAATTTGTCTTAAACTACCGATCAATCATTTGATAGAATGAATATTTGATGAATTGCTCACAGCCCTAAAACATGTACTTTTAATTGAGAAACTGTTGGTAAAACTGACACTCAAATCTTTTTCACGTGTGTGTGTGTGTGTATATCTAATCTCTATCAAGATTGAGGTCTGTATCTTGTTTGCACCACGAGCCAAAGCAAATACCTACTTTGTGACTTATTGTTACGTTCGATGGAAATACAATAATTCTGACTCTGAAATCTTTGTATAGTTCTATAACATAAATGTATAGGTAAGTTTTATACTGTTTCAATATCATGGCTGTCTTTTTCAGTTGGCAGGCACAGGGGTCCTGGCAGTGGGGCTGTGGCTGCGTTTTGACTCCAGAACCTCTGGACTCTTTGAAGGAGAGGATCCCCCCACTGTCTTTTTGACAGGTGCGTGTTATTAAAAACTCCTCAATGGCACACTCAGCAGTAGCTCAGTTGGTAGAGCGTTGGCCTTTGAGCCAGAAGGTCGTGGGTTCAAGCCCCGCTCAAGACTTTCACCATCGACTCCCACTGACTACTGTCGTTGTGTCCTTGGCAAGACACTTAACCTCTGGGAACACCAGCCACAGTGGGGCGGCTGCGGCTGTAAAGTGCCAAACTGCCGTTGTGTCCTTAGGCAAGACACTTCACCCCCATTGCCTAGAATGAGTCTGGTGTGTGTATGAATGGTTGGTGGTGGTCGGAGGGGCCGATGGCGCATACTAGTTGCCTCGCTGCTGTCAGTGTGCCCCAGGGCAGCTGTGGCTACAGTAGTAGTTTATCACCACAGTGTATGGAGTGAATGAATAATGACACATGAGAAGCGTCTTTGAGTGTCCAAAAAAGCGCTATATAAAACCAATGCATTATTATTATTATTCATGAAACTATATAATTTGGTTAATTTTATATAATAACTTGACCCATGTGCTTTTCTCTGGTCAAATTTACCAGCCTCAGTTATTAAAAAATACTGTGAGTCTGGAGTTTGCTGAAGCTATAATCAATAGCTTCAGCTAAATTTGTATTGTGCTGTAATCTTGGTCAACTAAAGACTTGCCATGTTGAACTGGATTTAAAAAAGGTGTGACAAAAACTGTAAATTATGATGCTCTTCACAAGACTATAACACCATGAAATAAAAGTTATAGGAAACTAAAGCAATTAGCACAAGGTTAATTAACACCACAAACTTATCTGTTACAAATACATCTGCAGCTAATTTCACCGTTGCATATTTTTATCATTCCCAAATTTAATTTAAATAAAAAATGTATGCTCATCAGGTACACCAATGACTGACTAAACGTCTGAGACCTAACAGCCCTAATAACTGCACTTAGGTCTAGAGTACTAAATGTTATGTACTATTCCCCTCCATTTCAGTAGAGGGGAATTTAGGAACAAGTGATGAGCGCACCAAGAGAAGTGGGCTGCGTGTTGCGCAGGGCAGCTGAGGCTCCAGCGGTTTGCGTTGGTCTTGCACACATTGCGCTCATTCTTCCTCTGTAAACAGGGATGCCTTTGTTGAGTGACTTTTGTGTTCCCAGTGGGACTGACACAGATAGACAGACTGGTCCCTCCCTTTGGTCATTGTATCTCGCTTTAATCAAACTGATAAGTGAAGTAGGCGGTCAGGCGACAAAGGACTGGATGGAAAAAGCGTTGGTCTGCTCCAAACAAATCTGAAGGAGGAAAGTATTTTGTGATAAAGCTGTGACACTTCATTGTTTAGTATGATTTAATATTCCAATAGGTATATGGGAAATATAATAACTTGTGGCTACAGTTGTTGACTGGCCTATAGCAGATTATACCTTTCTTTATGGATATTGATATGTTTATTTTAAAGGCGAAGAGATCTTGAACACAAGTACGACCGGCCTTTTTTGTGTATGGTATGTTTATAGTGAATCCTTTATCTGGTTATTTTAGTGTATTTGGTGACATTATGGAGGCATTTTCAGCAATGGTGTGCTTAGATCGAAACTGGAGTGGATATATATTTTTAGGGATTACAACCCATTACAATTTGTTTATAGTTTGAGTATAACATGCCATGGAAATGTATTGGTCGGATGGGATGAAGAAAAGTCAGATGGACAATACTTTAAAAACTTACAGATTTATTCGTCTGGCAATATGTCTGGCTGATATTTTGACAGCTCAAGATCATGTCCTCAAATTAATTTCCTTTCCTAGGGGTGTACATCCTGATTGCAGCTGGGGCCCTGATGATGGTGGTTGGCTTCCTGGGATGTTGTGGAGCGATCAAAGAGTCTCCATGCATGCTAGGATTGGTACTTGATTTAGTTTTGCAACAATGAGTTCAAATGGTTATTACAATATTTAAATGTTTTAATCTGGTTCTTAGTTCTTTATCTTCCTCCTCATAATCTTTGCTGTTGAAGTTGCAGCTGGAATCTGGGGATTTTCCAACAAGGACACGGTACACAAAGTGATCATTCCAGAGATCTGTGCATTTTATTGTTTTGGTGCTAAATGTCTATTTCCAGGTGATTGAGGATGTAACTGAATTTTATAAACAAACCTATACCAACTATAAAGACACCAAACAGGAGGCTCTAAAGGAAACTCTGCGCCTGATCCACTTTGGGGTAATGACTTTTTGTTTTGTTTTTAAAGCACCACTGTGGAGCTGTCTGCAGGAAAGATTGTAGACAAAAGGAATACTGCAACAAAGTCAAAGAATGTTGATTTTTCTTATACAAGTCATGTTTGTGGAGAGGCAATAATTGTATTAGTGGGGCAATATTTTAATGTGAGTTAAATTGTCAACTGCTAATCCCTGTGACTCTTCCTAGTTGAAATGCTGTGGCCCCACAGGAACTGTGATCGATGCAGCCAAAGACATCTGCCCCAATCAGGAGGGCTTGGAAGTTCTCATTACAACGGTAAATGTATTGGTGTAGTTAGATACAAATTGGTTTTTCATATGAAACTGATACTTTTGAAGAAATGTGGGAAAATTGGAACTTTTGAACACTTAAATTCTTCCACTTGTGTTGGAAGCAGAATTATAAGTTTCTTTTGCTTCATTAGAGCTGCCCAGCTGCAATTGATGAGATGTTCAACAATAAACTTCACATCATTGGTGGGGTTGGCATCGGTATTGGAATCATTATGGTAAGTGCACATTAGGACCAAGTGAATGTTGAATACTGTAGTGCTCCCAATGCATTAAAGTAGCCTTTAACAAAAATTCTAATACATTCATTTTTTTTTTCCCCCCTCACTCAATAGACTTCCATTGGCAAGTGTAATGGAATTTGCACTTGCCAATGAAGCCATAACGGCAGATTGATTGCTAACCCTGCAGCCAAAGAAAAACACTGCAATGTTTTCTCTCACTTTAAAAGTGATCTAGTCTCACTTTTTGTTTAGAAAATTACAGTAGCTAAATAATTGTCCTAGTTAAGTTTTGAGCTGCATGTTAATATGTTGTAATTGCATCTAATGTGGTCTGTGACCTTTCAGATTTTTGGCATGATCTTCAGCATGATGCTCTGCTGCGCTATTAAGAAATCCAGAGACTTTGTGTAAATGTTTCTCTGGATCCACTTTTGCACTTACGACCCGCTATGAGATCTGCACAGAATGTTGCATGATGGCGCTGTTGCATTCACCCTGAGAACATGATGCATCTCGACTGCAGTTACATTACTTTGTGCACCTTGAGAATGCAGACTCACATGGAGCTTCTTTTTTTTTATGTGCTTTCTCATAAGTTTTATATATTTTTTTTTTTTTTTTACTTGAAGGATTGTTTTGTTTTAACTGAAATAAGCTGCCACATGCGTCTTGTACTAAAATAAAGTGTGATCTTTTATTTGTGAAATTTACTTTTTAAAAACACATCTGCAGGACACTTCTGGAGCCTCATTTATAAAACGATGTAGAATTATTTTCAAAGCAAAGGGCCTACAGCTACCTTTGGTGTGGCGGAGGTAAAAAAAACTAGTCTGTGGATTAAGTCAAGCCACCCATAAAAAACCTTGAATCCAATATTTGGACTGGTTTGTGGCTGAAGTCTTTAGACCAAATTGCATGTAAAGTTCTTGATATGCACACTTTATAAATGAGGCCCCTGGACAGATCGGCATGACCTTTTTACAATCAACTCAGTCTTCCCATGCAAAGTCAAATGGCTGGAAGTCATCTCTCAATGATTTGCAGCAGTCTTCCTCCTCCTCTTTACTCTGTTTGCACTCCTTCCAGTCTGCTCTCGTCGGAATGTTCAACACGGCCTCACTGGCCAACACTTCCCTAAACAAATACATTTATAACATTGTGCATTTATCAGTAATAGTTTTAAAACATACCTGCCGAACTGCAAAGGAAAATACTTCTGAATACGATAGTAGAGTTTCTCTCCAGAATCAAGCTCCACATAGAAATATGGAGTGCCTGGTGGCGCAATCTGAAAAATAAAATACAAAACGTGTACACTTTTTTTCAAATACAATTTTTTTGTGCAGGTCTACCTGTTTGAGGTCAGTATGTTCAGGAATTTCCATTAGTTCCATTTTTTGCTCCTGAGCTTGAACAACAAATGCCTCCTTAATGTCCTCAGTGGTGCAACAGCTCAATGGCACCGGAACAACCTTGATTAGAAAAATGAATTGGTTTTAAATAGCACTTTTTTGACACTTCATTATTAATTCACTTCATAAACTGGTGATAAACAACTAATGTAGCCATAACTGCCCTGGGGCACTTTGCAGCCGCCTCATTGTGGCAAATGGTGTTCCCAAAGGTCTCACATCACAGCACAAACCAGGCCCTAACCTGCTTAGCTTAAGGGGTCTGCCATTTGTATATCACATTCCATGCATATACTAGTGCATACAACTCAATGTGCTTAACAATAAGTGAGATATTGCAGCAAACCAATAAGTCCTATCGAATGACAAATCAGTCTTTAGTTTGCTCTTAAATCATTGGAACACACGGTCATTCATTCGCAATTTGCTGTGAGCGTACTGCAGAATGAGAAAAGCACTATATAAAGCTGGGGTATTTTTCCTGTACATGCTTGTCTCAAAGGAAAGTCATACTGAGAACTAACTAATCAGACTATAACATGCCACATTCATGTTATGAGTTATATTTTTTTTTACTCGTAATAAGTCCTGGGAGTTACTATTTGACGTTTTGGGCTCAGGGCTGATTGAAATAAGACCACCCTCTGCTTTTCCGTCTGAAAAAGCAGAGACTGATAGAAAAGTTGCAATATAGATTTAGTTACCTGTAGCTGCAAATGCTGACTCCTATAATTCCTCTCAAATATGATGCAGCGTTCCCCTTTGCTCTTGTAGAAACTCCTGAGAGCAGACTTGTATTTCTCCATCTCCTCCACAACGTCAGACGCCAAATCCACAACTGACTGGTAGTGGCCGATCGGGAGAATCAGCAAGTGCCGTGGCGTCAGGGCACCTTTAGCCAGGGCCAAGTAACACTAGAAGAAGTCAAAGTTTATTTCATTGCAAACGCAGCAGTTTATTTTTACTTACTGATTCTGATACCAGTAAAGTAAACGTTATAATTGTGTTTCGTTAAACTCACATTTGTGCCTATGCTGATGACCAAGTGTTTTTCCACCTGGGGGCTGGCCAAGCAAAACCAACATGGTCCTGTTGGCTGGGCTGCAAGTGATAAAACAACACGGTAATCTACTATGCAAACAGACTTTTCGGACATGGCTGTGATTGCACTTACGATGTCTGCGCGGATGTTTGGCCCAATTTTCATTGAAGTGACCTCCTCTTCCTCGGCCTCGTCCATCTGAATGCCACTTTCTGTTGCCCTGGTTTCCGCTCAGGTCAAAGAAAAACTGATTGACAGGTTCCTGAAACAAGTAAAAGGAGCAAAACATGTACGGATACATTTTCACAGCAGAGTTAAGGCGTCCGCAGGCTGGAGGGAGCGGAGCCTCATGTTTGCTTTAATCAATTATTATTATTTATTTATATCACAGCATGACTTCACAGTTTACCCCATTTATATTTGTCAATGTATCCAGCACCAGTTCAGGCTCAGAGTTGTGTCAGAACTGTGATTTGGAGCAATATTTCCCACTCAGGGAAAGTCAGAGGCCTTTAAGCCAAACTCACCTCCTCTTCAGCTTTGAAACTCTGTGTTGGTGCATCCTTTTTGTCTTTTGTTACTCTTCTGTATGGATTTTCTGTCACATCCGGAGTCTGTTTTACCAACTCTGCTGGATCCATTCTCTTCATAGGAATAATATTGAAGGCATACAAATACTGCAATAAGACATTCATCCTCATGAATTATTATTATAAGACTACATTATTGATCCAAGTCACCTACATTGTGGATCAATAATTTTTTTCAAGTCAAAGTCTAATGTTGTCACAAACCTTTTTCTTTGCAGGATTGTTGACATTTGCCAAAGCAATAAACCGACTGACATGTTGTGCATTTTCTTGAAGAACAACATGATTCCTGGGAGGATCAATAAAACACAAGTGAAATGAGAATAAAATACATTTATACCAATAGATAACTAGAAAGTGTAAAGCTTCATTTGGAATGTTTACCTGTAAGGAAGTCTCTCATAGTAGACACCTTCCAGACCAGAAAAGTGGTATCTTGGCTTTAATTTTTCTGCGAGGCTAGCAATGAAGATACTGCCGCATGTCTTTGTATCCACTTCCTGAAATAAAAATAATCAATCAAAATGCCAGAGCGCCAACATGCAGCAAAGTACATGGAGTTTTTCTTACAGGAGTGTTGCCATAGGTCCAGACTCCTTTAGGCCACTGGGATGTCAATAGTATGTCCACTCCTCGAAACTTTGAATTGGTCGTTAGTGGTTCAACAAGCGAACACAGATCTTTGGATGTGAAGCAATGGGAGGGTGCTGGTTCCTGTGAAGCTTCTCGGCCACTGACATAAGCTATTTGCAAGCCTGATACCCCAGTGAACACACCCTGGCGACCTATCAACCATATAAGAATAATATATATATATATATATATATATATATATATATATATGCAGTCAGACGCCCAATATCATTAATTCCTACTCACCCAGATAGGTGATGTTATCACATAGCTCACAACCACTGGAGCTGGGAAAATGCACTGTTTTCTCTGGACTTGCAGATCCCAAGATATAAGTATGTATAGGGGCTGAAAATACATACATACAAAACTGATGGGTGAGTAATAAGAAAAAAAAGAGGAATTTAATCAAGCTGGACAATTTCTAGTCATGTCCTTTTCATCCTCTTTATTATCCCATTTCTGGGTTGGCCTTGATGTTTCAGACAAGGTGGGTTTAAGTGCCTTGTCCAGGGACACAACGAAAACTGACAACAGTGGGGTATCGAACCAACGACCATTAGGTTCAGAGACCTATGCTCTACCAACTGAGCCACTGTCACACCTAGCATTTTATCCCATTTTACTGGGGAGTTGGGCTACAAAATAGCACCTTTTGCCCTTTTTGGTAACATATTTCTTTTTGAAAGGTAATTGCGGGATGGCCCAAGAATATATAAAGGATACATCAACAACCAATATTGGATTTATTAGAATATAAATATTTAAATTAATTAGGACCATTGCAGAGTATTCCATCCTATTTGGACTTGCCTTTCTTGGCGCCAGTTTTGTACTGCTGCCACTCTGACTCTGCGTCAGGGGACGTGCCAAAAAAGTCGCCAACACAAAGCAGCAGCTATAATGACAAACAGTATGTTAATGCTGAGGGAAAGAATACACGTAGTAATCGGGTAAGACGCACATCGAAGGGTCCAGCTTTCTTCTGGATCGTCTGGACGCGGTTGAACAGCGCAGTCAATCTTCCTTCCACATCCCCACATGCTAAACTAAGGGAAAAGTAACACACAACAACAAATGCATGTAAGCACCAAAGCTGTGATAGGCCTAATTCACTGGCACGCTTCTTTGTTTCTTTGTTGAATACTTACACTCTAACAGGTTGCTCTCCCATCGCTATAAACAAATATATATTTTTCGTGCTGAAAACGTGAATATTTTTGGCAGAATGAACGATTGGTCCGTCGCCGATAATCGTCCGGTTTTCTCGAAACGAAACACACAACAACAATGTAAAATTGTGTTCTCTTTACACATGTCCATCAATTTAGAAAACTTAAAAAACTTCGCATGTGTTGATCAAATTATTTGATAGTGTTTCGCTCGTGATTCATTACAGAATGAAATATATTTGACCGGAGTGTTTTTCAACCCGGACCTGTGGGGTGCCATTCCAGTGTTTATACCGCGTAAAAAAGTCAAATGTAATTTTGTTTTCTATTTCCTTTTTAGTCTATATTTATAAAAGTGCTCTTTACTTGTATTTATTTAAGATAATATCAATTCGTATTATTTATGAACAAACAAACAATCATACAAGCACTCAAGTGATGTAGGTCAAGCACATAACATCAAACAATGCTGTACACCATAAACCAACAAGCACACTTGTTTACCAAATACATTGTGTTGTCTATGTTTTGTCCCAACAGAAAGTATTTTGTAAACCAAAAGTCTTCATTGTATTAGAAAATATTTAATTTGGAACCTTTTCTTTTATTAATTCAAACATTATACAATAAAACAGATGCCTTACAATGCAGACGTTCAAACCACAAAAAATAAAAACAAATTATAAAACAGGGCATACATTTAGAAATTTGCTGTTCTTTGTAGATGTAAAGTGCATCTATCAATACATTTTAGCAGTGGTCTTATCAATCTCATCCTATCTTCCCAATCTCATTCTTAGAACCTCTGTGGGCATGGTCACCATTTGACCACTTTGGTTGAGAGTTGTTTGGCTTCATTTTTCTTTCTAGAAAAGCTGATCTAATTTAACATGTGGGAAAATATAATCATGTGAAAACCATTAGAAACAAGGAGGAACTAGCTAGATATTGCATAGTTAAATTTTGAGCGCTTCAAAATTGTGGTGCCCTAGTTTCACTTTACTGTTCTCTTCGAATCTCTGTGATATATTCAAGAATCTACAGTTTGATTCCAATCTGGCAACCCAGGGCTCTGCAGGGCCGAGCCTTCATCCTGGCATTTGCCTTCATCCTGGTAACTCAAAAGTCCCCGGACGAAAAACAGGAAGTAAGTATCAAAATAACGAGTATAATTCACTTTCAGTTTTGGGGCGAAGCTGCAGAGGAGTGCCGCGGCTTACGGAGCAGAACATCCATTTAACACACAAACTAAAGCCACAGAAGGCGTCGACAGCTTTCCCAGACGCCAAAAGTCTATTTACTGAAACATGGCGCCGCGTGGTTTTTCCATTTTAGATGCATTTTGTGTTGAAAGCAATATGTTGGCATTTTGGGTAATTTTGAAATTCTGCAATGTCAGTTTCTGTGATTTCAGGTTTCGGCCCACTTTACTGCTGCGATGAAAATAAATCCCAGCTTTTGTCGATACGAGGGCACCATAATGATAACATATAATGAGTACCTCCATGTAGGGTTTTTAAAACTATCGATACTAATAATAATCAAAACGGAAATGAATTTCAGCAAACGAAATAAATTTACACAAACGGGACAAAATTTAACATTTCCCCTGTATTTATGATAAAGGTTTAACTTATTATCAGAATACCATTTAAAACAGTGTGGCCCCATAAAACAATTTTATTTTGAGTGAAATACTATATGTGTAATATGAAATAGATATAAATATATTACAGTACAGACCAAATGTTTGAAAAATAATGTTTCCTTTCTTTTCATGACTATTGACTGTAGATTCACACCCAGGCTGTGTAAGGGCTATTTGACCAATAAGGGGAGAGGCCACCATCATCCACAGTCACCAGACCTGAACCCAATCAAGATGGTTTTGTGGTGAGCTGGACCACAGAGTGAAGGCGAAATTGAGCATCTCTGGGAAATCCTTCGAGGCTGTTGGAAGACCATTTCAGTCCACTACCTCTTGAAGCTCATCAAGAGAGTGTGCGAAGCAGTAGTCAGAGCAAAAAGTGCTACTTTGAAGAACCTAGAATATAAGACATATTTTCAGTTGTTTCATCCTTTTTTTTAGTAAATACATAATTCCACATGAGTTATTTCATAGTTTTGATGCCTTCAGTGTGAATCTACATTTTTCATAATCATGATAATAAAAATAACTCTTTGATAAGATGTGTCCAAACTTTTGGTCTGTACTGTATATAGATTTTTATTGTCCAAAAAGACCATTTATAAATAAATACTCCCAACTCTTCCTCCCAAACTTGGCAACGATGATATGTCCTATAGAAAATCTAATTAAACTTGTCAACTTGAACCGTCCTAAAGGTTGCATCCAGGACAAGGATTTCTTAATATTGAAATAAGAGTTCGGGGGAATTTTGAAAACAATAAAACAAAGACAACTATTTACTATGATATAACGTATACTGAATTCATCCTGAAATGTTTAATATTTATGTATGATAATCTCTTATCTGATAAGGATGGGTTCTGAAGTCAAGGACGAGGGGACATTGGAAGCCGTTAAATCAGTCACCCTTACCCAAGACAGTGATGGGAGCATTATTCTACACTGTTCTCCCAATGGTTGGTTACATTTCTCTAAAAATGTCTTAACAAAATCAAACAATTGATTAATTTTGTTATTGTCTTTAGATGAAGATTCAGAGCCTCTTCAGAAAAAACTTTGCCTCGCCACTGAACAAGATGATGCTCAAAATTTCTCTGTAGTTTCTTTACCAAGTAAAATATGATCTTTCTATAAACTCTCTACTTTATTGAAGCTTTCTTTATGTATGGTTTGATTCCTTTTAGCAGTGTCAGAGGACAGTGATAGTTTTGAAGTGACAATGGAAGCAACCTCAGAGGCAGATGTGTCTGATGATGGTGTCGCTCACGTCCAGGTATGAATGCTACTCTTTATTACTCATTCTATCACAGACTGGTCTGATGTGTTGCTTCTTCTGCCTGTGCATAAAAAAAGATCTTGCATGCAGATGAAAACTCTGTACAGGGGTCTGATATTTCACCTGTCAGTCAGGCTTGGTTTACCACCAAAGAAGATAAAGACTCATTATCTAATAAAGGTATGTTTGTCATGTTTTGTCACTTTGGTGTTTCTGGTTGGAGTTATCTTGCATAAATGATTTAAACAGGTCACAAGTGGAAGCAGGGCATGTGGTCCAAAGAGGAGATTGACATTCTGATGAGTAACATTGAACGTTATGTGAAGGTACTCATTTATGTTTGGCACTCTCTTTTAGTACTATATTTTTGCAAACTAATTTACCTTTTCAGAACCGGGGGATTGAAAGTGCAGCTGATATCATCTTTAATATGTCTAAAGAAGAAAGAAAAGACTTTTATCGCTCTGTGGCGTGGGGTCTAAAGCGACCATTGTTTGCGGTGTACAGACGGGTTTTACGGATGTATGACAACCGCAATCACGTTGGGAAGTTAGTACCTTCAACCATTAAGTAAAAACAGCTGCAGTAACATAAAGAGTGAGTTGTGCAGAATAACACTGTAATATGATGTCCCGTCAGATATAAGCCTGAAGAAATTGAGAAGCTTAAAACGTAAGTGTTTCTCCTGTGATTCTTTTTCCTCAAATGAGTTTAACTCAATCAATGCTCCTAAAATAGGCTTAAACAGAAGCATGGAAATGACTGGGCCACAATTGGTGCTGCCTTGGGTCGCAGTGCCTCTTCAGTGAAAGACCGCTGTAGATTGATGAAGGACACCTGCAACACAGGTGCATATTTCAAAAGTTCTGTTTTTCTGGTTTGAATATTAGTTAATCTGTTAATCCATAACAGGTAAATGGACAGAAGAAGAGGAAAGACGTCTTGCAGAGGTTGTGTACGACATGGCAGGCGTGACACCGGGCTCTGCGGTCACTGGAGGAGTCTCTTGGGCAATCGTTGCCGAAAAAGTCCGAACACGCTCAGAGAAACAGTGTCGGTCAAAGTGGTTAAACTATTTGAACTGGAAACACAGCGGAGGGACAGAGTGGACGAAAGAAGACGACCAAAACCTAATACAAAGGTAGAGAGCCCCATGTTATCTCAACAAAGAATCAGAGATGTCAAAAGTCAGATATCAAAACTATTTTGATGCAAAAATAATAACATAAACAAGACAAAATAAAACAGTTCCAAAGCATAAGAACTAGAAAGTAACTCGAGCACTGTAAAAAGTACATTTTGTGTTAAAACTTACAAATTGGAAGTAATGCGTTTTGAGATTGACTTTTACTTTTTTCCCAAATTGTGACGACATTACACAATTTGCCTCGCCATTGTGTCGCAATTTGTTTTGTCTGTGTTGATCTGGACCTTGAGTCTGTAATAAAGTTATCTATCTACAACCCTGAACTAATATATTTTTTGAATTCATAGAATATCAGAATTGGAAGTAGAGGACGAAAATGAGATAAAGTGGGAAGACCTGGCTGGAGGGTGGAGTAGTGTCCGGTCGCCTCAGTGGCTCCGATCCAAGTGGTGGAGCATAAAGAGACAAGTCACGAATCACAAGGACATCCCCTTCAGTGGTACAGATGCACTGTAACTGTTGTTTTTTACTCATGTTGTGCGTTATTCTGTAAACTATGTGATTTTTCGGTGTAGTTCTTCTCAAAGGTCTTCAGGAGCTGACCGCATCTTCACACAGCACGTCTGGTTCTGCGAGTCCTTCGTCGTCATCATCATCGCTGCAGATCCGACTTGCTCGAGTGGAGGAGAGCAACAACAGTTCTTCGCCAAACTCTGTGGCTGCCCTTCAGATTCCTGTGCAAATACCTCTGCAGATTACACACCTTGGTAAGAATGTTGTAATCATACTCCATCCAAAGTTTGTTTGGCATGCAAAATAACAACATATATTCTAAAGAAAATAAAACTAAGTCATGTTCTTTTTGCAGCCTCTGATTCTTCAGCAGCCACATCTGACACTGGAACCATCACCTTGAACACAGGAGCACTGCAAACATTTGAGATTTTACCAGTAAGATCTTGCTCAAAAGTTATTAATCAACTTCTGGTACTGCTCTATAATAACCAAATATCAATGAATGCATTCAAGTCTAGTTGAAATCATTACTATTGCAACAACATATTACAACAGGCTAGATCCAGCTCATGTAACCTAACTAGTAGGGTGAATTCTGCTTCACATCATAGGAAGCAATTAATAATCTTTTATCAATGCACATCTAGTTATTATGAAGAGTTACCACTTCAAATTACGTCATGATGTTGCGTATATTATCATTGTAAATTAATTATTCCCCTCTTACCAAAGATCCACAAAAGTATTTGATTAGGATTAACATTTCTATTGTTTATATTACTTTTATTTATAGAATTGTCAATAGTAATGGTGGTATACAAGGATTAGGCAGTTTACATGACTCCATCTTAATGTAATGTTTGCAGCAATTTATTATAATTGGTATATCTTTATTTTTTCCCCCCGGCATTTCAGTCTTTCCAACTACAGCCAACAGGCACACCTGGGACTTACTACCTCCAGACCACATCCAATCAGGGACTTCCACTCAGCCTGGCCACCAATCAGAGCCTTCCTCTTAGTTTAACCAATAACAGCACAGTAACGTTGACCAGCTCCTCGTCCCCTTCTCACGAACACATTATCCTCCACAGCCTCTCGGTAAGTTCTTATACGCTTTGGTGTGATTATACAGCACTTTTAAAAATCTTTCTTTCCTTTTGCATACCGTAGACGGACGCACTTTGCTCAAGTGACGGAGTTATTATTCACACAGTCACTTCTGACCAAGCCTCCTTGGACACGGTCAGCCAATCACAGCTGGTTGTGGAGGCAGAAGACAGTAGGCAGGACCATCTCGATACCTCTAGTCTACTAAACTCTGCTCAAAGCGTATCCACAGAAAGCCAGGAAGCATCCAGGGAGGTCACTCACTCACCTGAAGAGCGGGAACAGTTCCACACAGATAGTTTTGGTGAAAAGGTAAAATAAACATAATGCACATATCTTTGATAGTTTTTGAAAATGTGTTGCTTTAGAAGGTAGACCAGACATCGGTGGAGAATTCAGAGATAATATCTGGCAACACAGTCCTCATAGTGTCTCCTCATAACATCAGCAGTACATTAACAGGTAATCGGATATTTTGATACATGGTGGAATGGACTTTTACATGGTTAAACTGAAGAAGTGTTTGAATTTGATATGTTGGCATTTTCTACTTCACAGATCCAATCCTGGAAAACCAAGAAGGCTCAGACTGAACAATCGCTCAGAAGGTAGACCATAATGACGCTTGAAGAACTGCAAGTTCCCTGCAGTGCTGCCTATCTGGAGTGAACCCATTTGTAATGGGACGGGTTGACCCTGTACTCACATATTGGCACTAGACCAACCATGGTAAAATGTAAATAATAACCTACATAATTATAGCTTTTTAAAGAATTGTACCCTTATCAAATACAAAGTTGGTAACAAATTACCTGGCTAAGGTTCTTGTAAAGTGAAAACTGAAGACTTGATTTTGCACAGCTGTGTACCCCACATTATGACCAAAAATCAATGAATTAGGCTGTGATAGACAATCATGTGCCTGTCATTGGGAAGCAACAAAGTTTTGGAAAAGGAAAATTGCACCTAGTCTGAACTTTAACTTAAAGTATAAACGTAATTGTTTAAGTATGGAACTGGACAGGAATAGAAAGGACAACATGGACAGTGATCAGAAACTAGTCGCAGTCATTTACATTTGGTCATTATTTTTTATGACAATAAAACATGTATCAAGTACACAACAATTGTTTGTTTAGTTGCATAGTTTTCCACACTGCTATTAAGAACCTTGAAATTAAAGTGTTTATAAAAATCCAGTCAGTTTGGTCTAACTTTGCCTGAATTTTAAAATGATTTGGTTCCATGGGATTAGAAAATAGTTTAACATAAATATAACAATTAAAGCTAAGCGTGTGATTCCAGCAGAATTATCTATTGATAAAATGGCAGCAATATTGTGCAAGTTTAGATCAGACAACATAAATATCAATTTAGTGCAAGACTTGGCAGTCAGCGTAGTTGAACATTCAGCAGAATAAGAACCTTCCCAATATCGTTTGGTTTGAAATAAACAATGGGCAGATTGTTTATGAAAGCTGCTAAAGACAGAATTGCATATGCAGTATTCAAACCCTGCTGATGTTTTCCGTGTTCTTGTGTGCTCTACTGTATAATGAAACATTCAAGCTTTTGAAGCTCAAAACTGAATACTAGAATCAGACCATAACACTAAGGTGCATAGCATTGTGTAACATAACTCAACAAGCACTTAAATACATTTCAAGTGTCGTGTAAAAAAAGAAATGTAGATGCATCTAGAATCCGTTCAGTGTGGATTTTTTCTTCATCAAAACCATAGGCATTCTCGAGTGTCTTTTGGCTATATGTGGTACATTGATCAGCAGTGTGATATGTGCTGTGTGTCTGCCCTACAGAGGCTTGTGATGGAAGCTTGGCTGAGTCATCGTGGTCCACTTAAATTTTGTACCAAGTCATAGTTGTGTTGTTTTGAAAAAGGCCAAGTGTCCCTTTTTTCCCCTTCTCCAGTGCTGCTACGTTTTATTGACATCATGAAAGTATAAATTGGCACATAAACATAGCAGCACTATGGAAGCCAGCATATAGTAAATCAGTTTCCTGAATTTAGGTTCCAGATCACCCTGTCTGTACCAAAATATCTGTGAAAACAGAAAAAGCGAGTGTTAGAACATCTAATATTGGAACACATATCAAAGACTGATGGAACAAATAAGTTACCAGCACTATGGTGGATCCGCATGTCAATAAGATGCACACTGCAAAAAATATATTTAACGGTCGTGGTGGTGGGGAAGGAAAAACAAAAGAGCTGATAATTGTCACCTAGAGAACAAACACGCATTTTAAAATATAATTCCTCAAGACATGGAAACATAAATTAAAAGTACTTCTTACTTACCAGAACAACCAGTGAAGTGGATCCACCAACTGCAAGATTTATAATTCGATCCTATAAAATAAATAAGGATAAATAATGATCACTTTAAACGTGAGCCTTACATAGTTAGTGCTACAGCTGTCTTGAGACAAGGCGTTTCTGTAGGTACATACCCGGGCTGATGTCTCCCCGAACAGAGGCCTGTTGTCCAGACCTCCGCTGGTTCCATATGTCCTGGTGGCGAAGTCGTCCATGAGCGCCTGCACAAACAAATGGTCCCTCTCAGCAGCACTGTCCTCTGGATACACTGCTCCAGTGCTGCATGCTTAGAGTGTCCTCCCACACAGCAGCGTCCAGGTGCTCATTGTGGAGACCACTTATATCCCCTGTATAAAAGCAAATACTACATTACTACTGACATTTAGGGAGAAAAGTGAGAATTGTGATTAAAAAAAATGAGGGTGATGGCTTTTAGGTATAATATTATACCTAAAAGCTTAAGAGTGAATCCTAACATTTTAAAAGATATGAATCCTTTGGGGAGATACTTGAAATGGAAAGATTCTGTAGCTCCCTGGCTATTAGATTAGATATGTATTAACGACAACAACTGGGACAAACCAGATTCAGATTCATTTTATTCGCCATTTGCAGTAACACTACATTGGAATACATTAGTAAAAGTTCCCAGTGTGCACAGGACAAGTACAGACATAAAACAACATTAAAAGACAAAAATAAAACAAATTTTAAAAACACTAAACAAATGTCACTGTGAAGTTGACCAACTAAAACAGATCTATACAAGTGCAAAAACATTAAAGTGCTCTATTCAAACTGATAACAGCTCGTGGAAAAAAACTATTAGCATAACAAGATGTCCTGCATCTCAGAGAACAATATCTTCTGCCAGAGGGAAGAAGCTGGAACAAGGCTTTTCCTGGGTGGCCAGAAGAGTCATTGATAATTCTCAGGGCACTGTTAAAAAGTCTGGATTGATAAAGAGCCTCCAGAACAGGAAGTTCACAGCCTACAGTCCTCTTAGCAGAGCGGAGCACCTTGTTTAAACCAGTAATGTTAGCTTATTTAAGCCTTGGTCACTGTAATTAAAATAGTTTAAAAGACTAACTGTTGAACGGGCCACCACATAGCTAGTCAGTGACGTTATGTTTCATGAGCCAATCTTGCCTAAAATAAAAATAAAATGCAATGTCCTATATTGGGCTAGCCGGTCTGTTAATTTTGATGTATAGATATTATATCAATAAATACTGGCACACAGGCACTTAAAATACATAATTATAAACCAAACATTGTGCAATTTAAAACACATGCTGTCTTTTTTAGACTGTTGCTTATCCAAAAAGTTAGGTCATTAAATATTAATTAGGTAATAGATTACAACTTACATCTAGCAGAACATCAAGTGGAAAAGACTCGACAGAAAACAAGAGCGCTATTATTAAGCATCACTAACCTGGCCTAAAGCTGCATTCCTCCACTGCCTTGTGATCCACTAGGCTTCTTAAGTGTGATCCACATTTTTTTTTTTTTTCGTAAATGTAACACCATGCAACTGTAGGTGGATACATGATTGCAGGAAAATAGAACGTTAAAGCGAGGCCGAGGAACATGAATCCACAAACACACATTACAGCCAAACTGGAAAGTTGTTCCTTTGACTACATTTCTATATAAATAATAATGGGGAGATGGCTCTCCTCCAGGACAAGGTTTGTGGAGCATGCAAGCCTGATGCAAGCCCACTCACATTGGATTTTTTTTTTTCAGTGCAAAGACATACAATAATCAATAAGACAAATTTGCATTCGATGTGATTATTTTGTGAAATATTTTATTATCTAGCTACTAGAAAATAAAGTTATTAGACCACAAACATAACCACCAAATATTAAAAAGTAAAACGAGGAGTGGAAATATACACCTAGGTGACTACTGACGTTAGATTGGTCTGTATAGTTGGCCATTTCCATTAGAATTTATCACTAGAGCAAACAACCGCTCGTGCACCAAAACCATGTCAGTATCGGCACTTTTTTAAAATCCTCAACAACATTTACCATACCACCATAAAAAATTACACCAATACGTTACAAGAGCTGAAGTTAAGCTGCATGTCGCCATATACATATGTAAAGGAAGTTGCTAACAAAGCTAACAGTGAGGTAACCACAGATTAATCCTGTACATTATTGTACCACCACGAGAGCAACATTTTAGAGCCTTAAATCGATACTTTTAGCCACATCACTTGCCTTACAAGCCCTCGTAGTCTGGATTAAAAACATTGTACAGTCCGATGTTTGCGGCTCATTCAAGGAATAAACCCGGAGCTTCCGCTCTTGTTAAAGGGGCGGGCGCTTTGGCCGACAGAAACCTCGGTCCATGGTTCACTCGCGGTCAGTGCACGTGACTGTAATATCTGCAACTCTATGCAAATAGTGAGGCGTTAGATAACGTAAGAGCATCCCCAGATAATGACCAGGGCTAATGGGTTTTCATAATCTAAAATACTAAAGACTAAACGGGTGTCGAATTTCTTGAAGTACTTCTAAATGAGGTTTGAGAAAGGTATTAGCATAATGCGTTTGCAAATGGAGCTGGGGAAGTGGGCGGAGTTTTGGGTGTGGTGTGAACATGGATCTATTATAATAACAGGGTGTGAAGTGTCCATGGAAGTGTCCCACCGCCACACATTATTTTAACAGAAACCAGAATTTACCATATGTATTGTATTTAAGACACCTTTTCTATTCCATTTATTATATTATTATTGATTATTATTTGCACAGTACATAATAATCAAAATGTGTCTGCAAATAGCGTCGACATAAATATGCTGGAATAGCAATAGCTAAATTGCATCCATTTTCCACGTCTGTCCTTTTTTATTAATTAGAGACATAAATTATTGTACGCATGCATAAACCTTTATATATACATTTCTAAATCATCATCTATCGTAATGAGATACTCAAGACACAATTTAGGAACAACACATGGAAATAACTATATTTCTACACATTTTTTACTTCATGAATTACCTGGAGCCTGCCTAGTGGACAGGCATATTCTATTGGAACAACTCTGTTTAAGAGTAACTTTTTAGTCTTACAAGTAAAAGGTTCTTATTGAGTAAATATTTTATTAGTATTATTAGCATCAGTGTTAATATAAATAACACAATTAATATTTACAGTAAACCACAGCACACAGTTGTGACAGAGAAACAACAGAAGCTCACATCTCAATACTGTTGCACTGCTGCCCCGTGGGTGGACAGAATGTAGAAGTGAACGCAAAAATGAAATCAAATGAAAAAATGCAAAGCAATTTAAGTCTAGTGGTTAAGAATGCAGCCTTCTGTGGGGTCCATGGGACGAATCTCTCCCTCATGCAATCACATGAGCAATGTGTGACGACCAGGTGAATAACCAACTCCAAACAAACCTCAACTTCAGCATATTTGTAGAAAAGTAAGGGCTACATTTGACCTTTTTTTAAGGATCTAGTTGACTCAAACTGTTAACATTAACAGAGTGATCATATTTACTATACTTACAAAACATACTGTAATAACTAATAGCAATTCAAATAGCAGCAATAACCATAATAATATTGATGTACATTTTTAATCTTTGGTAATTGCAGGGATCCTTCAGTCATCTTTCACATGGTGTCCTTATATGCATAGACTTTGACTTTTCGAACCTCACTTTCTTGGCACGCTCTCTTTTTGCTGTAATAATAAAATGTATTGTCTCGAAGCTGAAGCTTTCTTACAAATCCAGTTTGAGGCCATTTGTCAATCTAAAATGAATAGAAACAAAATCTAAATGATTAACGACAAACAGCAGAGAGATACCACTGTGGTGAAAAATCTGGGTAAAATGAAGAATTGACAGTGCATTGCTCACCCTGGCACCTTGCTTGACCTGTAGGTACTCTAGTTCATCTCTGTAGCCTGCTTGCTGAAACCTGAAGAGGTTCTCGACCTGTGTTGTCCATTGTTGTGCTCGGTGCACAGACTGTGGTTTGGTCAAAGGCATAATCACACTGAAATAAATCAGACAGAAGACACAGAATCAGTGAACTTGGTATTGTTGCGCTGCAGCTGCACATAACGGCCACACGATGTCTTCAACGAGCAAAAGTTAGTTTATTAAATAATTATTTACCCACTGCATTTGCATTCCTTAAAAAAAGTCGCAAAACACGAATACTTCTAACGCAACCTACCTTTTTAAACGGCCCACTCTTGAGTTGTGTTTGTGTTGGCTTCACGAAGGCTTTCCTGGTTGCTTAGTAACCACGAGAGGATCGCAGAGACGGCAACAGTATAAATACTATAATATTTAAAACAACAATAAAGTATGTAAAGCATTCCCTTTCTTTTATATTCATATTAGTATGTGGATAAATTTAATTTGAATAATAAACGAGTCATTCTTGCACAGGATATGCCAATACACAAAACATATAGAGCTGGATTTATAAGCATGGCTACATTTCAAACCTCTATTTATGTCGTGTGAAGAAACTGATTAACCCGAAATGTACATGGTAGAAAGTAGAATAATGTGGGTTTAAAAGTAAGGAGCAAACCTAAAAAAGTTGTCAGAAGAATACGTTGCCAAGTAAAGGAAAAAAGTAGGCCTACAGTTACTTGCCACCTCTTTCTAATGTATGGAGTTATAATTGGAACAATTTGGTCTAAAATTCTAATATGTGACAGAGGTGAATCTCGTATTCAATAGTTGAACAGTAGGAGGCGCCAGAGAGCAACACCACAAACTCAGTAAAAGAAGAAGTGTGGTAGGCGGGACGAATAAAATGTCAATATCGCCCCATCTCCTCAGAGCAGAATCATAGATGTAAAATACGCAAAAACCGTAAACTTATGATTAAAAGTATTTGAAGGTTACCATTGCTGTATAAAACGAAGATGAGCTCGTTCGCGGGTCGAATGAAAGAGTATCCGAACATCTCTTTGGACAGGTTTGATCGGGAAAACATACATGCCCGGGCATATTTCCTCTCCCACTGCCACAAAGGTAAGTTTCACCAAAATGTAACACATTGACCCTAATATGTATACTAAGAAATTCCTCTCATTCAAACAGATCACATGAAAGGACTTAAGGGACCTCTGCTTAAGAGGAAGCTACAGTTTAGGTGAGACTGTTTAACATTGAATCCTGTATTAATCAAAGTTGGAGTGTCAAGATATAATGTGTTTGATCCATAGTCGCACTGTCCGACTCTACTGCTCATTTGTGACCAAAGAGCTTTTACTGAGCAATGCCAAATATTCATTCTGGGAGGATTACATTGTAAGGCTGTTGCACAATTTTTTTTTTTTTAAGGTTATAGAAATGTGTGTGAAATGTTGTGTTGCTGTTTTTGTATTAGGTACCTTTGGAGTTGGAAAGCCCAACTCAGATTTCTTTGGTGAATGAAGTATCTGGGGAGGTATGTCTTACATGAAATAAGATTCATGAATGATTCTCAATCTCTTCATTCATTTTAAGCCAATGCTATCTACCTTGGCAGAAAGAAGACATTTTGGTCACTTTGCTCCCTGCAGGTCACTGTCCTGGCTCTGTGATGTGAGTGTTGTCACTGTATTGTATTAATGGCACCATTTGATAAATAAATAAATCAGACATATACATGCATACGTAGGTTCCTCATAGAAGGGTGCCAAGGAAATGTATTATACACTGGGGACTTCAGATTAGCAGTAGGAGATGTTTCGAGGATGGAACATTTGCATTCCGGCAGCAGGTGAGTTATTTTTTTCGGAAATTTTCCAAAGTTGCATTAATGTTCAACTGCTTTAAAGTAGGATAATCACATCTGTTATACACATGTTATTGTCTGAAGTTTTGAATAGACCAATAAAAACACATTTCACAGAGTAAAGGATCTTCAGAGTGTGTATGTGGATTCAACATTTTATGACCCACGTTTTTATCAAATCCCTTCACGGGTAAGTTGCATTGAATATGATTATTGTCCAATGATATGCTCAGAACCTGTGTGTTTCTGTAGGATATCTGCCTAAATGGTATTTTGGATCTGGTTGGAAACTGGATCAGTCAAAGTCCATATCACGTTGTGTGGTTTAACTGCAAAGCTGCTTATGGTTATGAATATCTATTCACAAATTTAGGGGAGGAGTTCAAAACCCAGGTTACACTTAAAATGCAAAGTATACTGTGATCTCTCTGTATTGGGCTTCTTTTTTATTCTATTGTTTGTATTTATCTCTAGATCCACATCAACAATCTAGAAATGTTTAAGAAAATGCCTGAAATAGTCCATTATGTGACCACTGACAATAAGACTCAAATTCATGCCTGTCGTCATCCAAAGGTATAATTCTTAATGACTAAAATGTTTGCACAAATATGTTCATTTTCAAATATTTATCTGCAGTGGATCTAATGATCAAACATGTGCATTTTCTTTTATCACGTTGATTATATAAAGGATGAAGAATATATCCAAGGGCACCGTTTGCCTTGTGGACGAACAGCTGCTGATGGAACTCCACTCCAGATCATAAGCATCAAACCATCAACCATGTGGTTTGGAGAAAGGAGCAAGAAAACCAATGTTATAATAAAGTAAATGTGCAGGTCTTGAATGAAATGTAATGCAGTATTGACTCACAAGTGTGTTAAAGAAAATCTTTTGCATGTGTCTTATGTGCAGAACGGGAGCAAGTTCTTATAGAGCATGCTTTAGTTTTCATTCTTCTTATTCTGAGGTGGTTGCATTAATGCTTATATGTTTACAATTTGCATTCTTCTTCACTGATTCGTTTGCTTTCATGTACTTGCAGATTAAGGAATTCTTACTCTATCTCAAACCAGTCAATATCTATCCCAACGTCATTCCTATTGGCAAAACACTGACTGAGGTCACTCATTTGTGAGTAACCAAATTTAATTAGCTTAAAAAGGTGTATGGAAAAAAAAATTATATATTTTTGTTTTTCTACTGTGCAGATTAAATCAAATATGCCGAAAGCAGTCAGATCCAGAGGCATTTATATACAAGCCTTTGGGAGTTCTAAAACGCACCAGGACGGATCAGTCTTTTGTTGGTAAGACATGCAGGAAATTCATTCTAAACTATGACTTTTTGTTGAACTTTTACTAAAAATGCTGCTTCACTTTAGATCCAGACAGTGATGAAGGCTTGTTTGAAGGAGTTGATCTTGCCCCAGTGAGAAAGAAAACACCTACGCAACCAGAAAACGGTCAAGGTAGTATCATGTTTATTATAGCTTTCTTTTTGAAAAGGCACTGCTGTACAATTGAAAATTCCATCTGTTGATCACAGATAAAACACCTGTATTAGAACAAACAGAAATAACCTATGAGTTAGTCGTTGAAGACCAGCTGCTGCCACATAATTACCTTGATTGTACTGAGTCTAATGATGAAGACAATGGTAATGAGGAAGAAGATGAAGAAGAAGTAGGGAAGGATGATATGGAGAAACATCTAGAGGGCAAACGGGACCAAACATCTTCTGCTGATCTTCCAAAATGGGAGGACTTTTATACCAGAAGCAGTTTGACTGACAGCCAGTTAAGCCAGTCACAGTCTGGCTGCTCGTCGTCCACCAGACTGTCGGATTCACAAACACCTGAATTGTTCAGCGAAGAAACTGATGAAGAAGAAACGTCAGACTCCAGTCAAGGCCAAGAAAGCCCCTCAGCCTCTCAATCCAATCAGTGTCCACAGAACCAGAGTTCAACTATATCTGACACCATTATTCCGCAACCAGGCCAAAGTCACCTCATATTCACAGAGTGTGAAGTCCAGCAGGATCTCCCAGACTCTCAAACCTCATCTGACTTCGACATTCCCTGCACACCAGAGTCCAAGGCTCCAGGATCTGAAGAGTTGCGAGAGCTGTACAGAAGGCTCGCCTCTGGTGAAGATGTGTTCAACCAGAGATGAACAATGTTTTTAGTCCATCCTCAGCTACATCCATTACTTATTTTGACTTTTAACCTCTATGTTTAATACTGTTGGGTTCCTACAAATTCTTTATAAAAAGTGTTTTTTGAAATCATGGTTGTTGAGGATGGCCCAACCTCAGGAGGTTTACATACTGATAATTTGATATTTTTTAAAGAGGCCTTGACATTCAGGAATTATGCACTTTAGTTTCTACTGCTCTAACCTCTAACAGATGCACTAACCTGTGTTTGTCGGTTGACAGTAGTGGTTTTTTAAAAGTAGATCAACCGATGTTAAGACATTCCAACAGTGAATGTGCAGTGATGACTTTGGAAATAAACAGCATCAGTGTATTTGTTCACATACAATGGTACTATCCTGTTCACAAAGTGAATAAACACATTGTAGAATCATAATAGTCTGCTCATAGTCGTTTGCACTGAAATCCTATGTTTGTATGTTTGAACCAGATGGATATTTTACATGGAAAAAATGATACACCATCTTAATATTGTTGTATGATTCCGCACGAGTATCTAAGCCGTTGATTGGTGCAGCCTCACAGGTCACAGATTGGGCAAAGGCTATAATCCCATCTCAGTCCGTGTAGGGGGCGTACAGGAGGAGATTGACTCCTGTGGGAGCAGGGTGCTTCTCATTTGCAGCTTGGCTGGTGTCTTGGTTTATGCAACCACCATTTCCTTCAGACATCTCTTGTATCAAAACACAAGATGGTTGAAAGGAAATTCCTTTCTTAATACATTGAATTTACAAAAACACTCAAGCAGAGTGGTGACAAGATATAAAGGCCTAATTGTAATTTTAATACATTTGTAAAAGTAAGAAGCATCTACAGACCTGGTTCATTAAAATTAGAGGCCGTTTCCCCACAGCGGCTTCCTAAGGGCTGCTGAGTCTCGCTCACTCTCTGTGGAAAACAGAATTAATTAACTACACAAGCATATTAACACAATATCTTAAAGCAACACCATTATGTAATCTTGGGGAAAATAATGTGCTGAAGATTATATGTATACATATTGCAAGGGTTACAGCAATAAGATGTTTTTACTCCCATGCTCTTGTGACCCTGAAGACGCCACAGGAAATGAAGATGTGATTTGTGTACATTAGTTTTGCATATGAAGCCTCTCACGTACGCATTGATATATATATATATGTATATATACAGTGCCTTGCGAAAGTATTCGGCCCCCTTGAACCTTTCAACATTTCGCCACATTTCAGGCTTCAAACATAAAGATATAAAATTTAAATTTTTTGTCATGAATCAACAAGTGGGACACAATTGTGAAGTGGAACGAAATTTATTGGATAATTTAAACTTTTTTAACAAATAAAAACTGAAAAGTGGGGCGTGCAATATTATTGGGCCCCTTTACTTTCAGTGCAGCAAACTCACTCCAGAAGTTCAGTCAGGATCTTTGAATGATCCAATGTTGTCCTAAATGACTGATGATGATAAATAGAATGCACCTGTGTGTAATCAAGTCTCCGTATAAATGCACCTGCTCTTTGATAGTCTCAGGGTTCTGTTTAAAGCGCAGAGAGAACCATGAAGACAAAGGAACACACCAGGCAGGTCCGAGATACTGTTGTGGAGAAGTTTAAAGCCGGATTTGGATACAAAAAGATTTCCCAAGCTTTAAACATCTCAAGGAGCACTGTGCAAGCAATTACATTGAAATGGAAGGAGTATCAGACCACTGCAAATCTACCAAGACACGGCCGTCCCTCCAAACTTTCATCTCAAACAAGGAGAAGACTGATCAGAGATGCAGCCAAGAGGCCCATGATCACTCTGGATGAACTGCAGATAACTACAGCTGAGGTGGGAGAGTCTGTCCATAGGACAACAATCAGTCGTGCACTGCACAAATCTGGCCTTTATGGAAGAGTGGCAAGAAGAAAGCCATTTCTCAAAGATATCCATAAAAAGTCTTGTTTGCCACACCAAACATGTGGAAGAAGGTGCTCTGGTCAGATGAAACCAAAATCGAACTTTTTGGCCACAATGCAAAACGATATGTTTGGCGTAAAAGCAACACAGCTCATCACCCTGAACACACCATCCCCACTGTCAAACATGGTGGTGGCAGCATCATGGTTTGGGCCTGCTTTTCTTCAGCAGGGACAGGGAAGATGGCTAAAATTGATGGGAAGATGGATGGAGCCAAATACAGGACCATTCTGGAAGAAAACCTGTTGGAGTCTGCAAAAAGACCTGAGACTGGGACGGAGATTTATCTTCCAACAGAACAATGATCCAAAACATAAAGCCAAATCTACAATGGAATGGTTCACAAATAGACGTATCCAGGTGTTAGAATGGCCAAGTCAAAGTCCAGACCTGAATCCAATCGAGAATCTGTGGAAAGAGCTGAAGACTGCTGTTCACAAACGCTCTCCATCCAACCTCACTGAGCTCCAGCTGTTTTGCAAGGATATATATATATATATATATATTTTCATATATATATATATATATATTTTCATATATATATATATATATATATATAAAGTTGAATGACATTTCTGTACTGTGGCACAACTAAAGGATCTCTTAATCTCAAACAGATTATGCTTCATACATACAAAATCTATTCCAGTGATGACAAGTCATGTAGACAAACTGAGCATTTAAAATCTCGGTTTGGGTTTCAACATGTGACTCTTATTGTGTGTGTTCTTATTGTGTGTGTATTTGAGGAAGGTATATTCTGTCAAGTCCTTGAATAAACCTAACTGTCCTCACCGGGACATATAAATAAATAACATCTTTTTTTAATTTATAGGACTATGTACAGTTACATTGCAAGATATGGCTGCACCATATTTACTTATCGAACTAACACAGAAAACACGCAGCTACATTGAAAGGTGAAAATATTGCCATTAGACAAATCTTTGAAAGGCTTATAAATTACCCTTTACCAAGTTGTCAGAACTATTTTGGTGCTAATTGTAGCCAGAGGAATACAACTCTCTGATAAACCTTTTCTTCAAATATCTGTCAGATGGTGCCCATGAAGTTTTGACATATGTCTATAGTCCTTCCCCTTCCATGGCCTCCACCTCAGAAGGAGTGGAATGAACAGAATAATGCCTATGGTTACATATTCCTCATGTTCAATAACAAAGATAATAACACACCTCATTTTATTTGTGTAAACATGAATGTAAAATAATTATGTAGCATTTATTGAACCTTGAGAGCGTTTTACCTCGAAGAGATCCAATCTGGACAGTAGGAAGGTTGCTTACATCTGTAGGCAGCCCCACATACACACCTCCATAGTTCCTAATGTCACACAAACAAAGGATTATTGTGATGCACTTTCAAAAGGCCGTGAGCTGCTGCTGCCCTTACTTCCGTTTATCCTCAGCTGCTGCAGAGTCCTCTGACCTGTTCACGAAAGAACACATGCAAACAGAATCAGGCAAAAAATATTAGAGGGAAACGTGTATTCTAATGATTCACTATACTATTAATATATGTTATGGACTTACACTTTAGATGAGCAGTCAGGATGGCCTCATGTAAACAGTGGCACAAACATTAGAGTGAATATTATCTCTTTTTGTTACACATTTACCTGGACTGAAACACTAATGAATACATTTTAACATTCCAAAGAGCTTATAAAACGCTAGAACGCCCAGAGCAGTCACTTTGACCTCTCCCATTAAAATTACTGGAATTTGAAGAAGGAAAACTTACTTTTATTTAAATTAAGCAATGTGTACGTTTTTTCCATTTAATACAAGCTAAAACTGGTTATCAATACTTGAAATACAGCAAAACAGTTTGTCGAAAAGATTCCAAAAGCTAACTGCTGTCAAGTAGACAGTGTGTTGCTATGGTAACTATCTCTTACTCGTCTTTGATGGAAAAACAAGCTGACTCAACAATATTATAATAGATCCATGGACTCAACTCATAACCTGGAACAGTCCAGGACCAGCACTTTGAACTGCCATTGTAGGAATGTAGAAATACTCACATTTCAAAACTAAAAGATCATGTCATTTAAAATTATAACTATGGACTAATTATTGTTTTATTGAGTTGTCTAGACTGATGTTGGCCAGTACATAATAATGATATGGAGGGTTTGTGAATTTAAGCACTTTCAAATAATGATCTATGCAACACATTTTCTTTTTCAACATGAAAGAAAATATAAAAAAACATAGAATTCTCTGCACCTGTCCTCCAACTGAGATATTGAAACCAACCGTCATGACACCATTCAGATAAATGTAACACTTTTAACAGTGGATTGAGTGCCACGCATACATTCTGTTATATTAATTCTCACAAATGAAACTTGTACTCACCTGTTTTGCTGTCCTTGTGGCTGTCAACAGTGGACGTTGATGAATGTCCACAGCCCATGTTTGATCCAAAAGTTAAGCTATAACGCTGACAAAAAAGCACAAGAGAGTTTGTCGCCTGTGAGAAAGGAGGCAGAAGATCGAAAGAGTCCAAGGAGCAGGGGGGAGAGGGAGGGACCCCTGCTGCTGAGAGAGCTGCAGCCCTGTGTGTGTTAATGAGGCCGAGCCATGCACCGCACATCTGCCACTTCCATTTTAATTATAGTGAGCCTTGTGTGAGGAAGTTATTATTCTTAATACACACATGATAAATTAAAAAGTGGATAGGTGCAGATATAGGGCACGTTTGCACAATTTTGATAACATTTTGATAACAACATCATTCATAGATCCATAGGCAGAATATCGTTGATTGTCTCAGCTCGAAAACCATACGCACTATTGTTTGCAAAAGGATAAAATATGACACGTTTAAAAGTAGTGTATACGCTGCACTTTTTTAATTACCCTATGGCATGAAGCTACCTTAAGTCACTGCCAAGACTGAAGTTCTCGGAGTTTACAGTCTGCCTCAAAAACCTGCACTGGGAGAGAAAAAAGCCCTGTGTGTGCGAACAGCAACTTGATGTGTTGATTGAAATCCTACGTAATGCTCCTTTAAAATGTAATCTGTAGTTCTGAGTTTTTAATGTATTCTTAGCAGTGTTTTGCCCAAAATTGTCTAAAATGTATTCTCTTGATATTGATGAAACCAGAAATTGCAACAGGTGGGATAAGAAATGACCATCACTTCTCCATATATTGTGCTTATCTATATACTGAATTACATTTCCATTGTTGCAGTAGTTTAGTAAATTGAATTGGTTAATAGTATGGAGACATAATGACAAAAGATGACAATCCATGCCTTCTCTTGCACTATTTGAGCAGCAAATGTTGAATAATACATGATTCCTCAAATAATACATGTATTAAAAACGCATCCCCTTTTAAAGAAAGGCTGAGGTTTTCCTTTCTCTAAAAAAAGTGAGTTTTACAAAAAGGATGCATTGTGCCTTATTATAAATATATTGTTATTGTAATTGTATTGATATTATAGCTATATTATGTGTTAGGGCCCATGACAGGGATGGGTTTGTCCCTGACATCTCTCCTCTCTCTATGGCCACAATCAGCCCTCACTGTTTAACATTCTGCAGGTCTTTCCTTCCTTCTGCTGTCAGACTGTAGAATGAACACTGTTGAGATAGTAGGCTGCTTGTGCCATCTAGTTGTAATAACTCTCAATATGAATGTGCACTGACTACATGTAGCCTTTATTGTGCCTAAAGAACTCACATTTTGTAAGCAGTATGCAACCCAGAATTGATAATCATCTGCATTGTGCAAAGGGGGTGTTTTTTACATTATGAAACTATTTTGACATGACTTTTATGTGACATGGGTTTCACTGGTTGTTTTTTATTTTCTTTACTGTTTAGATTTAAAGAAAACTGGACCAAATATAAAGTTAAACACATTGATTTATATTCAACTATTTAACTTTTAGAATAAAATACATTTGGTTGTTTTCCTGAGAAAATAGATGTCCATCCATCCATCTTCTTCCCCTAAATCCAGTCAGAGCTGCACCCAGTACACAGAGCACTAGCCCCTCACTGATCCTCCTGCAGGTGGTGAGTCCACAGGAGCTGAGATCTTTCAGCAGGGGCTTCAGGCCAAGTGGGGTTAAGTGTCTTGCCCAAGGACACAACAACAGCAGTCATCAGTGGAAGTCGTGAAGTAGGTAGACCTTCAGGCTCTACCAACTGAGCCACTGTTGCCCTAAATAGATCATGTATAACATGCAATTTTAGGGGCCACTAAATTTGTCTTGCGGGCCGGATTTGACCCACGAGCCTGAGTTTGACATGCCTTCATTAGATTAAGAATTTAAAAATATAATAATCATAAATTCAATTTATAATGCACTTTACATTTGACACCAAATCTCAAAGTGCTGCAGCGTCAGCAGCATAAATGAAAGCATAACACATATAAAATCAAATACAAAATTGCTTTATTACACCCCCATGGGTTTAATACATGAAAGTATGTAATATTATTTTCACATGACGTGATCATACATCCATCGACGTGATCCCCATCAGCTAAAGCGCCCCTTTGGACTCTGCGTTGTACTCAAAACTAACACACGGGGGCGTCATTTTCAAAGGAACATCAGCTCTGCATACTGGAATCATGATGAGACCTAGTATAATCATGGATCTATGAGTACAATCATGGATCAATATCAGTATTTTGGCGAAGACGATCACATCTCGAGGCTTTTTGTGCCATTATCTCTGCAACTTTTTATAATTTGAACCACTGCCAAATTGACTTGCCTTTCTGATTGTGAACATAGATTAAGAGAATTCGCCAATAACACTGCAATCTTCATAAACGACCATTCTGTATGAGAAAAGTAATTGGACTGCTTTGTAACTATACACCTTTGAATATATTCCACTTTTTGATTGTAGAGAGCCAATTCTTGAGTCTATTTCAACTGAAAATGGAATACCTTGGTTTATCTCAATGCATCACTCTTATGGAGCAAGGTACATCAGCTCTGTATACAGGAATCATGCAAATAGTTAGAGGGGACGATTATCTGTGCTCAAACTTAAGACTAGTTTTTGCCACTTGTCTGGGCCTGGTTGAGAATATATTGATAGACTGTATATAAAACAATTAGTTACTTCAAAAAGGAAGCCATTACAGCTCTGTCAATGTGGTTGTCCATCAAAAGACTCCCAGCAGGAGGAGAAAAGAAGCACAGAAACACATTTGTAAAAACATAATTTATTGGATAGGCCATTTGCAAATCTGTAGCCTACATTTTGCCCACATCTCCACCTCTTCAGAAGGGTCACTGATGCAGGCATTGCTTCAATTCGGGCATCTATGAGGCCCAAATTTGTCCATTTCTGTTTCACAAATCAAACATGATTTGTAATTATTATTCTTACATGTTTATTTTACAACATCTATTGAAAAAGCACTAGGGTATGTAATGTAAATCGTTAATGAATGATACAAATCGGTGTAGGCTACTATTGGGTAATGTGTGTGTGTGATAATACTTTAACATTATACCGTGGCCAGTGAGAACCAACGCTAACTGCCTTTGATTCATTTAAACTTTTACATCACAGTTTGTGTTATAAGCTTTTTTGTACAGCCGCATTTTGAATTCACACACTAGACATTTAGAGTTTATTGCGCAAAATTCAGCTAAATGTAGGCCTACCGTTATTTTTTCATTATGTGCGTCTGGCTATGTTGGCTATTGTCTGATAAAGTCATTCTTCTGTTTTGAGAGCAGTAGACAAAACGTGTTTATTTTGTAAAATATTCTGAGTGCATGAGCATGGTATAAGCGGATTAATCGACTTTCTTATAACACACTTTAGTTAAATTAGCGTCCTTTGACCTTGCTACACATCTCATTGTACCAGATCATTCTAAGTGTAAGCTCAGTACCATTACCCACTATATCTACTATATGAACACGTGGTTTGCATTTGTCTGAGTGTCCGACAGGCAGCCTCATAATCTACATCTCACTTAAAACAGGAAAACATGACAGCAATCCTCAAAAATGAAGATAAACAAAACTTATTCGAGCCATCAAGTTGGAGAAGAGTTTTGTAACATTATCAGAGGTGGGTTTTAAAATACGGAATGGTTTCAACTACAGATTTTATGCATCTATAACTTTTGGCTTTTCTGACTCTTGTTCTTGAAAGTTCTTTAAGGCACAGACTGGTGACTGGAAAAAGGCAAATAGAAAACATGTTATTGTGATGAAAAGCAGACATTTCACTACAATCCTTTGAAATGACAGTGTTATGAAGTTGTGATCAGTTTATGTATTCCATTTGGTTGAATTAGTATTTTATATTTGATTAGGTTGCATCTTACAACGATTTCTTTCATAACCAAACTTAGACAAACATTGTATGTTGCCGTACAGAAGACAGAGTCAACAAAAGAGGCTTTCCAAGAATAAAATGGTCGCGTATCTATTTGAATACATTTAAAACAGCAAACAATTGTTCATAAGAACAGAGAACATTGGACTCCAATCTAAATTCCTGTTCAACATTTTCCATACTGATACATCCTGGGGTCAATGTAATCATTTTACTCTGAAGAGACCAGCACTGTCTTCAAAAGACTTTTCTGGAAACAGAAAATGATATTTAATTAAGTTAAAGCATAAAAAAAATACATATAAATGTGACAATTTAACCTTGGTTTACGGTTTCACAGCGAGTAAAAAAGTTCAATAGCAACAATCAGAAAATAAAAACTTGCCATTTGAGAAAAATCAAAAATCCTGGATTATGGAAAACGTTTCCATGTGGTGTGAGCCATTATCTGAACATTCTCAGCAGCAGCCAATGAAATAAGTCTTTTGTGAAATTCAAATGTGCTATACCCTGAATACACCATCAAACTCTCCTGAACCAAAAGTGACAAGTACCATAATTGTTTCTCATTAACTGATTATCACATTCAATCAAAAAGGTTTTCCTCTCTAATTGAATACACTTCCATCTGCGGTTTCGAAATAAGTAAATCTAACTGGATAAAAATGTCATATAAAATGCTTTATGTCGTCTGATTGATAAGGTCTTCATTATTTACTCATGTGGCACGTCTGCATGATTGGGCAAGTGTAAATTTGTGTCAAAATAGTCCAAAACGAACATGAAAAAGTTTGCCGTTAAAATGAATGAACCGTGTCCATGTAGGCACAGAATCTCCTCGCCGCGTTGACCTGGAATGAAACGCCAAAGCTGAGGACAAAGGCCCATCATTTTGTTTCTCTTCTGAAAAGTCATCTGCAGATTCTCATTCCAGCTCATTTAGCCTGCAGTCTTTCATCATCGACATCAAAAATGACATCTTTGTTATGTTCCTTCGCTCCTGCTTCATGAAGAGTTCAGTGGTCAAAGATCTGTGACTTTATTTTCAAGCGCGGCTGCGATCTGCTGTAGCCGAAGGGTGAGTTGTCTGTTCTGAGCAGCGGGATCTTCATCGAGCGACTGGATAATCTAAACAACCCACAGACATGATGTGATATTTAGAACCTGTGTTAGCTTTGAGACAATGGCAGATGGACAAATACATGCTGCATTCCTACCACGTCGTAGTACTTGCTGGCGTATTGATAGAGCTGATGTAAGGCCACCTGGGTATTCAGCTTGTCTGTGTGTTGCTGTCAATATAAAAGAGGAGAGAGAATTCTTTTTTACTATTCACATGTCTTGACTATAGATTTAAGATGCCTGTTTAAAGCTGGGGCACATAACTTTCACAACAACAATAGAACTATGTAATGTCACACCTTTAGATCAGCTTTTTCAGACAGAAAAATAGAGAGGCCCATCAGATGTCAGCCCAAAGAGTCAAACAGTGACTCACAGGGACAGTAACTCACTCAATCCGGCATATTTCACATTTGTTCACACATATGCTCAGTAATGTTAATTTTCCCAATCGAATATATAAATAAAGTGGGAGAATAAGACTTTCTGTTGGAGAAACAAACTACTGTGCATGTGTTATTTCTTTGTTAAACTAAAAGTTAGGTACCCCTGCTTCAAAGTCAAAGTCAAAATCAAAGTCATACCCTGGACACTTCTGCAAGGTGTGTGTTCATATCCTGGTCACTCACAGGAATCATCTGTCTAATGCCTTTGTAGTAGCTTACGAAAACAAAAAATGCAAAACAAATAAGACATTTTTTCTTTTTTAAATTATGCAACATTTTGGCCTAATTATAAAGAACAGACTTACTCGTCCACCATCTTCTTGTATGTAGAAATCTCTTTTGCATAGAGCAGCTTGTTGCTTGGAGACTCCTATTGGGATAACAGTGGTTAATATCTGCTTTTTTTCTGCATTTCTTGGATTGCTAATTATAAAATAATAATAATAAAATAATTGACTACATATTAACAAATCTTCACCCGAAATAGCACAGAAGATGAATGCCCCAGAGAATTTGCCAAGTAAAAACTAACTATCCCCCTAAATACATGAACCAAATTCAAGTTAATGCATTTGGTTCATGTCCTGCACCCAGGGGAACTGCATTAATCCCAACAGCTGTGAAGCACCTTAACAACACATAGCACTTTAAACAGACTATTGCACTGAAACTAGCTTTGTAACTTCCTCTCTTGTTCTTGTTATCTTAAATGTTTTCTTTCTACTGTGTCTGCCTGTTTTCAGATGATAGCTTGCTACAAAACCAATTTCCCCCTAGTGGGACAATAAAAATAACTTTGAACTTTATTATAATGAAGAGTATAGCATTGTTCATCTTGTTGACTATGGGGAAAAAAATCCTCATTTGTTATTATTTATAAACCTGAAGAATAAGGGATGAAATAAATTACATTAAACATAATAAATGATGTAAACTCCCCCACTCCCTTTTTGGCATAATTATAATGTATGATTTCATGTGTTTGACGTATATATATAGTGTGTACTGTGGATCATTGCTTCCGTACCCGGCTAAGTTTGTGCTCAGACTTGGTGCAGGCGTCCATAAAAGTCTGGCCAATGACGTGCAGCGAAGCGTCGACCACCTCCGTCACGTGAACGTCGAAGACAAAGTGGGGATTCCTCAAGATGTTCACCCAGAAGCGCAGAGGCAAACTAAAAGACAGTAAAGGTACAGGTCTGAGGACAGGGCTCAGGTCACACAGGCAAACGTCTTGGTCAAACTTGTTCAAATGAATGTATTCTCTGCAGGACACTGTCTGCTCTGGAGAGTAGCTTCAGTGACAGACTTATTAAAAAACATAGCAGCTCTTACCACTGTCCTGTATGTGCACTGCAACATTGATTTTTGACCGACCTTAGTTCGAACCAACATTGCGATTTTCAATATCCTGCTCGTTTGAAAAGTAAAAACACATTCTAGAGAGCTACATTATTCTAAAAACCTTGTATATATGTGAAGCGACACATTACGGACCATGTTGATAACGTTCTGACCTAAAGTAGCACCACTAGAAATACAACATGAAACATATTCATATAAACGCTTGAATATAGTTATCTCTTCTCACAAAATTATTGATCAAAATAATGAGATAATAATGCTTCTGCTCGACAACAAGACAAAAGATACTTGTTTGTTCCATTGAGACATTTTCAAAATATACTCAAATCAAAACAAGACATTTTCCCAAATTCAAGTGGTTTTTACTCATCTATGGTCCCTTTTTGTTTTCCAAGAACAAATGCTTTTTGCTGGGAGACAAGCTATAATTTTGATTGCAATGAATCGTGCAGCCGTACTTTGGATTTCTATCATTCCTGACTTTTTAAAGGACTTGCCGTCGTTTCCTTTCCCCGCCTTTTGCTCATTGCGTCCCTTCATCTCCCCACGCCGCTGTCCCTCAAAAGAGCATAACCCTCGTCAATTATTCATCACTGCTGAATTTTTCATTGTGCGGTCTGTTTAAGTGCACGTGTGGACGTTCCCAAGGATGGACAGGTTGAGCTCAAGGCAATTTGGGGAATTTCTATTTTGGCATTAATAACTAAAACCGTGTGAACTAATTTGTCGTAATGTATCTGCCTGGTAACAAGCATCTGTGCAATAGTAGATAGTGTAGGATTTTCCTTTGTACATAATGAGTTAAACAGAAAAAGAGAAAAGGTCTGCTTTCTCACAGCAGTTTCTTTCTGGTTTGCTGGTCTATTGAAATTTTCATTGTTTGTGGAAACAGCACAAACTAACAAGGAAACTGACAGTTAAGATTATTATAATAATTACAGTTACAGTAAGAGCACTCCATTATCACGCTGCAGTTTCACCAAGACAAAGCAGAGAGTAAAACAAATATAGAAATGCTATTCCCAGAATCTTCATCTATTCTGAATTTAGATCCTTGTAATTAGTAAACTACATGTATTGTAGATAATCACTATATTTACCCAGATAAAAATTCAAAATCTCAAAAGGAGAATATTCTCTTGCAGACTGAAAGTTTTGTGAAAAGTCAATACGAATTTACTGAAGTGTCCTGCTCTGATCAGAAATAGGAGAACATGGTTCAAGTTTTACTGATGATGTATAAAAATGTAAAAAGTTCATTAAGTCTTCTTTATCTAAGGTTCTTTTAATAAGACAAGGAAGTCTGACAAAGGTGGAAGTCTGCCACCGAAACATCTCAGGTGATTAAACAGTACTGGCTTCTTTATACTCCTTTATACTCCTTCATACTCTTGCCTGCGAAGTTATATGTATATCTATATATCTATATATGTATATGTGTATGTGTATGTATGTATATGTATATCTATATGTCTATGTATTTATCTATGAATGTGTATGTGTAGTGTACAGTATTATGTGTTATGATGAATTCCTGAATGTTACCATTTCTCTCGTAGGTGTTTGTGTGTACATATTTGGCAAATGCAATGTGTTTACATGCAATTATTCTATTTAAAAGAGAAAAAGTCTCATTATTATTCATTCTGAACTGTTTAAATTCTAAAGTAATTAAAACATGTAAACATGTCTAGAATGTGAAACATTATATCATTTGATCATTATAATTTGGATGCTTACGGCTTATTGTTAATTAAAACCTTTGAAAGGTTTGTATTCTCAATAAAGTCGAATATCACCAAAGACCAATGAAACAAGAGATATTTAAAGCACAAAGTCTTTCTTCACCGACTTCACCCTGAGGAAAGTGTCATCATTACCTGTTTGTCTTCCATATGTGCAAAGTCTCCTCATCCACATTATCATGTCGGAGCGCTTGTTCATCCAGGAAGTCAAAGAAATACTTTACAGCGGGCGGCACGACCAATCCTGAACTGAGCACACTGCGGAAGAAATCGTCCACAAACTGTTGCAGAGTTCCCTAAAAACACATTTGAACATGAGATTTAATGAGTATGCAACTGTCTTATCTTAATGTCAAACACCAATTATTTATGTCCCTGGTAAACATTAAGAAAATTATTAGCAATAATTGGTAAGGAACACATTAACAATGAACAACGCGTTTTGGTCCAAAAGACAATATAGAGTATTTTTATTCTAAAAGGGACGATATTGAAACAAGTTCGATACATGTGCATGAAATAACTGGGTTAAGTACTGGCAACACAGTCTCAATTGTTTCTCCAATTATTGTTGGTCTTTTAACATTAAGAACATGGGAAAATACACAGTAATCAAGATTAAGGTTAGAAGATTAAGAGATCCTTTATTCGTCACACAGTGGGGAAATTTCAGTGTTGCATCACCAGTTAGATAACTCTACACTAAATAAAATAAAATAATAATCTATAACTCTAGCATGAAGAAGAAACAAGTATAACAGCTCTATTCTTTAGCATAATGAATACAAAAAAACTCTGACTTTAGCATAATAAAGAAGTAAAAAATCTCCATCTTTGGCATAATAATAAGCAAGCATAAAGTACTGTGTATTCTAGAGCAAGTAATATATAGTTGTATGTTTACATCTGTACATTAGTATGCAAAAACACAGCACTGTGTATTAGTTTGCTCTCTTAACAGAACATTAAAACCATCCTACCTTGACAGACAAGAGCCTGGTCAGGTAGATCTCAGTGATCGCTTTGGTCATGGCTTTGTCTTTCATGCTGCCTCTTTTAGACTTTCCTTCGTCCATTTCATCTGGAGTTCTGACCAGGTGGTACGTGTTGTCATCTTCTAATAAGGAATTTTCTATGAACAAGAGAAACCAATTCAATCAAGTTAGTGCAGCTCTTTGTTTCAATGGAGAAAAAGGCAATTAACTCACTTTCTTCATAGCTGTCTTGGTGCTGGTGGAATGCTTGTGTGTGCAGAACTCTGGACAGCACCAAAGTGGCATTATCTCGGACCTAAAGGACACGATTTGTTTACTGAGAGAATAGATCAACACACACACAGTCTAAATGTCAGGCGCAGACAGAGAAGGATTAAAGTTTGGGATTTTCAACAGCGAGAGTCTCTGGTGGCTCAGCATTTCTCTCCAAGTAAAGGTCTTAACAGTAAAAAATAACCTTGGGTGTCTATCATGCAATAACACACAGTTCAGTTTGATCTATTTTAGGATAATTAAGAATAAATTGCCAAATGCAGGTCCTTAGCACATTACAAATCCTAAACTTGTGACTTACATTATAATGAGCTAAAGTGTTGAGTCTCTTCCAGCGTCCTTCTTTCTGTGAAGTCAAGTCCAGGTCCGACAGAATCTGCCCCGTGGAGCCCGGCCGCCACTCTGTCAGGACACAACAGCAGTGTGAGCCACAATACTGCCACAAGTGAAGATACTGTATGGGCAAGTCATAGAAGAGGAACCAGCAGATATGCACAAAAAAGTGCAAAACACCCAGATGATTTTCGTCTAGAGTAAAATAATGACACTGCTTGCATTGGATTTCATTTTTGTTTTCTCAGTTTTTCCTTGCAGAAAAAGGACGGTCCAAGGATAGAGGATGCGCTGAGACAATAATCCATAAATCCAATTAATAGTGATAACTAGAATAATAATCCTTTCGCGACGTCTGTATTTGTGATTTTGAGCAGTACAAAAGTAAATTGATTTAAGGCTGGCCGAAGCATTGAGACCAGATAACTAGCAGTAGAAGGATACATAGAATAGATTTTTTTACCAAGAGCAACACTCTCCACTTTGGGCCTCTGAGAGTATGGAAGATTTCTGTACACCTGATCAATAATCTTCTCCTTCACCTGTAATCCAAAAAAATAAATATAAAGCTTAATGCATTGATTTACAGACACTTCAAGAACCAAGATGATCAACACCAAAAAATTCACACCATTGGGTTATTTACAGGCTTATTTCCACGTAAAATACAGATTCTGAGAGTTCTTATGTATCAAAGGTACATGTCCCCCAGAAGCTCAGGCCATACTTTATATAGAAGAAGCTGCACTGTATTTAAGCACAAATTCTTCCAAATCCTTGGAGGAACAAACCTATTCCGTCTCTTCTCTCCTTCATGAGCTCGAGCTTTTTATATTTTCTTAAATTCCTTGTGCACAGTTAAAACCCATCGTCTCCTCCAGCGCCCGTGTGCAGTGGGCCCTCGCTAAGTAACGGGAAGTAAACTATGTTATGAGTAAAACCTAATCATTCGCACATGTTTTATGGCTGTAGTGTTTGCATGGATTCTTGTACAGATTTCCAAACATTAACAGTCGACCTGACCATACATGTCTGTGCAATATGGAACCACATGTGTCCACTGTCACAGTCAGTTTAAGCCCAGATGCTGCTAACATGTACAGTCGTATCATCAATGTGATTATTTGAACCCACAGAAGACTTACTACCCCAATATTCTTGCACAAGTTTATTAAAGATTTATCTAAAAAGATGTATACATACACAAGTATATATTTCTTGAACTAGAGTATACAATATTTATCAAAAAACAAAGGGTAAGGAGTGCTGCGTGTTACAAGCGTGTAAGATTATTTTAAAGACCGGGTCAATTGGAAGAGGGGTTTAACTTAGTAACAAAAAGGGAGTTTTGACTTTCCAGATAAAGGAAAATTATGAAGATCTTAGAAGAAAAAACAAAAAAATCCAAGGTACTCATGGTCAATAGTTTAGAGATTTTTGTGATTTTCTGAAATCTTCATAATTTGCCTTCACTTGGAAAGTCAAAACTCCCTTTTTTGTTATACAATATTTATATTTTTTTTCTTTATTAGGCTAAAGATAAAGATTGTATTTTTTTGTAGTTGTGGTTTAAATGTACCCACAAAAATTAAGGATCTCTTCATCTTAATTAATCAGCACCAACTTAAAGCATCCATCCCATTGCTTTGCTTTACTTCTGTTATAAACCTTATACATTTATACAAAAATAATTACATTTTTTCCTACAAACCTGTGTAATTGTATCACAGTTGAGCACTTTGACAGGAGTCACGTCTGGTCCCTCGCCATGAACCAGCACCTGCAATGTCTGAGCAAAGAGAAAATGTCACCTAACAATTGGATTTGAAAAAAATAAATACAAAATAAATAAATAAGTAGTCTCAACTTTCACTAACCAGAACAGAGTACTCCACATCGTCACCCAGCAGCCCTGTATCATTCAACGTGTACTTGGCCTTCTTCAGCTTGGCATCGACTGGCCCCTTCTCCACTTGATGTTTTAGGGCCTTGAACAGTTTGTACAAAGGCTCTCCTGCCGTGTCCTAAATACAAAACATACAATCAACGCTCCGAAAATACATTATACAATTGTAATAACTCAAAACTAACCAGAGACATGACTTACTCTGAGGAACTGATAAAGACAGATCGACATCCAGTTACAGAGCATCCTCTCCACCACCGTCTCAGACCTATACATTGTCCGACAAAAAGCATCAAAAACCTAAGAAATATGTCAAAAAAATATTGATGTACTTGTCTGTGGCATTTCCTCTGACCTTCTGAGCATGAGTTTGGGGTTTTTGTTCAGCACGTGTTCGTCCATCAGCTCCAGCAGCAGCGTCCGCATGATGTCCGTGTAGTACTCCAGCTTCCCGTGCAGCGCCACCGTCAGGAGAGAGGCGAAATAACCGCGGGACCTGGCGTTGAAGTCGGGGCGGCTCTCCAGGGTGCGGATGAACTATGGATACAAGACAAGATGGTATAGGATAGAAAGAATTTGTTTTAAATGTTAAGCAAAAGAAAACTATGTAAACAATAAACAAGACACAAAATAAAAACAAGACATAAAACCATTTGAAAAAGAGGCTGATGCGGATTTGGCTCCAACCCCTCTCTCTCACTCATCCAACACAACCCAACACACACACACACACACACACACACACACACACACACACACACACACACACACACACACACACACACACACACACACACACACACACACACACACACACACACACACACACACACACACACCACACACACACACACACACACACACACACACACACACACACACACACACACACACACACACACACACACACACACACACACACACACACACACACACACACACACACACACACACGCACAACACACAAGACACAGGCCTAAACACTCAGATGATTAAAAAGGTGGAGAAAACAGATACACTAAATACCAATTGAGAAAAAGATTATTGACTTTATAACAAGGAATCTCCCCCAAATAGCCCTGTCATTACAATCTCCTTACTAACAGCTTAAACCAATTAGCTTTCATTACAAACACATTCTTAAACTTTATTTTATTCATCTGGATTTGCTTTTACTTTCCCCTTGGCATATTTGTTAAGTCACCTTGTTAGGCAAATAGCCAGTGCAGCAGTGGGGTGGTTAGACCCGAGGTTAGAGAGATGGAAAATTATGCTACCGCTCGGAAGTCGTGAACACATTCTTAAGATATACAATTTAAAATAACTCCATAAAGCTGGGGGACCTAACTTTTATCGCTCTCAAAATAGGGTGGTTCTATAATTAATTTTCACATGCATGTATTTTATATATAAGATTTACTTTATTGATCTCACAATGGAGGAATTCAGTAATTGTAGCCTCGATCACACCTTCTTTTTTAGACAAAAAAGTGAAAAAAATTGCAAAACTTAAATAAGAATTTCATTGGATTTGTTCACAACTTTTACAAAACTATTTTCTTTGGAACAAACTAAATCTATTAATTATCAAACAAATGTGGAAACCCCAGCTTTAATTCATATAGAGACTTGACACCAGCCAAGAACAGGCTGCACCTTTAAACCACTACAGTAAAATCCCATAGGACCAAGATAAGGCTGTAAACTGTGCAACTCAAAACCCACAGATATTAAGAGTACCTCCGAATTAAAAGACATCGCCTCAAGGCAGAACAAAAACTGTGCCCACCAGTAAACAGAGCATAAATATGAATGATTTTCCAAAAGAGAGCTTGAATAGTAAAATAAAAAAAGCATTTGCAATATTCCCTCGTTCATATTCTTTCAGACCCTCGGGCGTTAATCTCACATTGATGAGGAAGGTTTTGCTGTTGAGCAGGTTGGAGAACTGGTTCAGGGCCTGGGACACTATTGCCTTGCGGTTCTCTGGGATCTGGATCTTCCCCGTGATCATGACATCATTGGCGCCATCTTTTGACGGCAAGAAGAAGGTGCGGTCCGTGTAGGTTTTGTAGTCCAGGAAAGGCATGCGGGCCTCGCTCAAGTCACTGGTATTGTCCTCCATTTCAATCATCAGATCTGTCACAAAGCATAAAAGGCTATAATCAGTCAACGTGTCAACAAATGGACAGGTTAACACGAACACATGTAGGATCTAAGTCTCTTTTATACCTCAAGTTTTTAAGAGAGAAAAAAACAATACTTTTATACACTGCAAAAAAGTGAATGTATACACTGATATTGTATTCTTGATTTCAGTGTAATTGGCCACACTGTTTTTTGGACTTTCTTTACTCATGCAGGCAGAAAATATTTAAGATATTACTTGTTATTAAAAAAAAAAAAAGTGGAAAAATCATGATCCACTAGCAGAGTGGAAAGCTATTTTTCAACCTTTTTTGGAGCCACTTTTTGCAGTGTAACAATATCTATAATAATATTATTCCATGCGAAGCCTTTCCCTGACAGATTTGTTTAAAGCTGGGGTACCTAACTTTCACACAATGACACTATACCATGAAAATCCATGTAACAAGCTGTGTTGGTTTGGTTTTATCTTGTCACCTGCATGTATTTTCGGCTTCAGTCACATCTTTAGATCAGCTTATTCTGACAGAAAGTGAAAAAGAAAGGACCACCCTCACTCAGCCAATCAGCTCTCAGTCCAAAGACTCACAGAACAAAATGTATGCAAAAGATAACATGTTAATTTGTTAACTTTTTTTTCTCTTACAAAACTTTTGTAGGGATAAACAACAGGTATTAGCTATGGGTGGGGAAAGTTAGGTACCCCAGCTTTAAAGTGAAGGTATAATGTATTTCCAGTGTTAGCGTCACCTGTGAACTCTTTCTTGCATCGATCTCTCACACTTTCCTCCAGATTTTCCAGCTGGTGTTTGACTTTCTCGTACTCTCGTTCTGCCTGCTGACTCTTTCTCCTAAAACGATTCAACACAATATATTTAATTCAAAGTTGTGCCACCTTTCGTATCATGAAGTGAAACAAATACCTGTAGCAGTAGACTGAGATCAAGATGAAGAGGAGCATAGGAACAATTACAGCTGGGATGATAATTGCCAAGGGGATGTCATCTTTTTTAGCATAGTACACCTTGCCCACCAACCACTCCCCATCCCCAAACTTCACCTGGAAAATATATCAGCAAACTACTTACTACGTGAAATTTTAAAATCAATTCAATCGCATACATTTCACAGCAGCAGTCGATTTGTCTTCTACACAGATCAGAGAATCAAAAAGTTCAGACAAAGGAAATGCAGTAATCACCAACACATAGAGCCATTGATCCATAGGGGGCGGATGACCAATGTCCATTTTAGATTGTGTCCCAACCACAGGGATTCAAAAACGTAAGTATTATTTGTTTCAGGGAGTAGTTTCAATGATTTTTGAATTTGACAAAAGTTGCGCAGTATTTAAAGTCAAAAGTATGAACAAAATTAGCATCATTTCAATCAATTATTAGGAGTTTCGACATTGCCATAATAAAAAAAAAGTAATATTTAATAGCAAAACAACTGTATTCAAGACTGGGAACTGCTGTGTTAGACCTGGAATAGTATAATCTATATCTGCGTACCATAAGTTCGAGCAGGTCGTCGGCCGTGTCTCTGCGTTGGCGTTTGGATCTGGATCGAGGTTGAGTAGACGGAGCCTCCAGGATCAACTTATCATCCTGTGAAGAGCATTATTATGAGACTTTTTTTCAGGCTGTACAATGAGAACTGCTGAGCCTGAACATATCATTCATCTGTAAATAAGGAAATTCTGCAATCATGTGCAATGTGCAATACTGCAACTTCTTTTCAGAATGTCCACTGAATGTCACTTTATCGACTTATCCTGGACCTATATGTATCGAACCTTGTACTATAGAGATATTTTGAAAGATTGATATTGAAGCATTTACAGCTAGCTAAGAAACATAGTAATACTAAGTAATACTACTTATTTGAGCATTTGTCTCCAGTAGGTGAGACCACTGCAATGGCCTGCTCACAGGTCTCGAGTCCTGACTAGAACCAGGAAGTACGACCACATTAGTCCAGTCCTCAGGTCTCTGCACTGGCTTCCTGTGGCTCAGAGAATAGACTTTAAAACAGCTCTGCTTGTGTACAAGTCTCTCCATGGCTTCGCACCAAAATATATTAGTGACATGCTAGTCCCATATGAACCAGCCCGGACTCTGAGGAGCACAGGGACTGGACTCCTGTTAGTGCCCAGAGTCAGAACTAAACATGGGGAGGCAGCTTTTCAGATTCATGCTGCTAAAATCTGGAAAAATCTTCCTGTGTCTCACACCTTTTTACATTTTTTTTTTTTTAAAGGTTAAAAACAGTTCTGTTTAGCTGTGCATACAGCTGAGGGATTTTATACTTTTATCTTTATTTTTAATGTACTGTGATTATTTATGATTTTAATGCTATTTTATTTTGTTCAGCACTTTGAGTTGCCTTGTGTATGAATTGTGCTATACAAATAAACTTGCCTTGCCTTTTGTATATTTTGTGTCCTGCATGTGCGCTGCAACACTGAAATTTCCCCACTGTGGGACGTATAAAGGATACATCTTATCTTAGCTTATATAAATTCCATGACAGATTTGTTTTATAAAGCAGATACTGTTTGCATAATTTTAATCTTTAGTTCTAGCCATACAATCATTTTATGTCAAGTTATGTTTTAATCTACAAATAATAATAACATTCCAAAGTAAAAAGTGTTCCAGCAAAGGCTCACACACCTGCAGTATATTCACATGACAAGAAGCATCTCCAACAAAAGCTTGAGCCTCTTTCACGGTCATGGCTTTAGAAAACCCACGACCCTGAAAAAACAACAGAAATGTCAAACACAGATAAGCCACTGGGTTCAGCTGCGGCCACAAGAGGGCGCTCTCACTGTGACGATGATGATGCTGGTCTCGGTGATGACGTTCTTGTTGAGGCGGTCGAAGGTGGGGTTCAGGTGGTAGTCGAAGTGCTCGAGTTCCTCCTGCACGTTGTCCAGCTGCACCACCGTCCTGATGGACTCCACAGAGCAGTTCACCGCCGGAGAGCTGAAGAGAAGCACGCTGTCGTTTTTACTCTTCACCTCCTGCACAAACTGGGACACAAGAACACACAAAGCTGTTAGAAATGTGAGCATGAAGGCACAGAGGATGAAAACAACATCACATTTTTCTACTGTGAAATCTGGTGCCTCAGTTTTTTTTTTGTTTTTTTTCGGAAATTTGATGTGTAATACAAAAAGTAGAGCCTTGAAACTTTACAGATCAATACCAGAAATAAATAAGATAAAAGAAGGTAAGAAAAATGTGGGAAGCCAGGTCTCTGAATAGAAAGTGCTTAACTGTCAGCTATAGGTACGCATACAGAAACCATCCATCCATTTTCTTCCCTTTATCTGTGGCCAAGTCACAGAGGCAGCTGTGACGCTCAGACTTCCCTATCCACACACACTTCCTCCAGCTCATCCAGGGGAATCCTGAGGTGTTCCCAAGCCAGCTGGTTGACAAAATCACTCCAACATGTCCAAGGTCTTCCCCAGGGTCTTCCCCCTGTGGACGTGCCCGGAACACCTCCCCAGGGAGGCAAACCGAAACAGAGCCACCTCTACAATATGAAATTAAGCCATGCCTTTACCTTACTGTATTTTCTTTACTATAACATCCATAACTTTTTAATGGTGCCACAAACCCAAATACAATACACAACCAATATATTGTAATTTTGCCTTTCCCTCCAAAATGTGCCATTGAGTAATAATAATATACTTTATTGACCTGCCCGCAGGAGAAATTCAGATGATGATATTATTATTATCATTATCATTATTATTATAATTAATAATAATAATACTGTAAAGTTGTCCGAGATCTATAGTAAAGCCTTAACCGGAAAATTGGATTAAAACCAGGACAAGTGCAGCAGCCTTTGAGCTCTTTTGCCTTTCAGTGACATGTGTGCACGATAGATGGAAAACGACATTGCTTTTATTTCTGCCAAAGCGCTCCGACTCTCACTGTCTCTGCAGGGGAGAGGAGCTGAGGCGCTTTATCACCGCTTCGTCACAAACTCTGTCTGAAGCAGGAAGACTGAGGGGCGCTCAGTGGGACGGCTGCGAGGCAGAGGGAAGAAACCCAAGAAAAGGATACAAGCTCTGCTACAAATCTGGAACCACTTGACTTTAAATATAGTGTTTGGTATTTTTGCCCACAAATAAACAAGAGCAGGAAGATAGTGTTGAACTGAATGCTAACATGTTTCAAAGACTAGCATTACCTTTGGAAGAGCTAAAATGGCACATTCACATAATAAAAGAGAGCAATTGCACATTATCACATTTATAGCTGATACAGGGCACTTCCAGCTTTGGTCAAGTTAAAAAACAATATCATTTTAAGATTTTGCAGTGCTTTTTAGGGAATATTTAATGCCACCATCGTCAGGAAAGGGGTGGGATAAAAGGTCATATGCAGTTACTGAACACAGATAGTTGTCAAAAATTGGTAAATTAATGAAAACATAATTTGAATAATGCCTCATCCTTATGTAGAGCTTTTTTGGTGTTAAAATACTACTGTAGCCACAATTGAAGCGTGGCAATCAGTATGTGCCATCTGCCCCTCCGATGTGTGACACAACAACAGTTTAGCACTTTATAGCTGCAGCTGCCTGACTGCAGCACCTGGTGTTCCCAGAGGTCTCCCATCACAGTATTGACCTTTTTTTTTTTATTTAACCAGGAATGTCCCAATGAGATTTCAGACTCTTCTGGCCTCAGAGATAGAGTGGGGTCAGGGACAGTGTTACAGGCGACTATTGAAAAGATTTTTAGTGGTAGGGGAAACTAGAGCCCCAGGCGGAAACTACACACAGACACAGGGAGAACATGCAAACTCCACACAAAGAGGTCTGGGGGTGGAATCGAACCCAGGACCTTACTGTGAAGCACAAGCGCTAACTCGTGCACCACCTGCCATTAGCAGTACTAACCAAACCCCGCCCTGCTTACTTTTGAGGTCTTTCGGGATCAGGCTTTCAAGTGCAGGTGGCGCCACAAAACATTAAATTATCATTATAATTTTAGTTGGATCTTAAATGGGACTAAATATTCCACAATCTCCACAAACGTGATACCGTTTTCCTATTTTGTTGAGCGTTTAAGGCCAATCAAATGCAATACCCTCAGAAAAATAAAATGAGGCATGGGCTTCCTTGTCATGCAGACATAAGACAGTTATAAGACAGTTGCATATGTTATTGCATAAGACAGTTATATATATTATTACATACCTCAATCAGAGTGGAGTCCTGCAACACTTTCATTGCTGCTCTCTGAATCAAGTCAAAGCCAGTTCCAGTCACAACAATACTACGCCCACCGCTGCAAAAGGCATTGAAAGTGTGTGAAATGTGGGATTACTAATTTCAACACTGAAATTAGTCATATGAAAATGTTATGAGGTTTACCACACAAAGCTGGTCTTGGGGTTGTAGCCTGTGATCTTGGGGTTCTCTGCGTACTGGTAGGCGGCCGGCACGTCTTTAGTGGTGTTTCCCCCATAATTCACAGTCACCGTAAGCAGATCGGAGGGAATCTTCTGCCCGCGGTACTGGCCCGTCTTGCATGTGATCCGTATCCCAAAGGACAGGCTAACAACAACAAGACAGAGCTAATTAATGAATATCCTGACGACAAAAGTGTTAGGATGATATTTGACGATCCATTTACACTTTGCACGGCACTCCTCCGACAGTGATGGTCACGTCGTCTTTAGTGGCGGTGTCCAGGTCTTCTCCTTCAATAGTGATGACTGTCCCTCCTGCTGCTGGACCTCTGGCTGGCGTTACATAGTCTGGTTTGGGGTCCTGAAGTAAAAGAAAGAAATGAATGGTAGAAGTCAATGTATTAGCCAAATATATAAGAATAATACTCAAAGCAACAAATATGAAAATTGCTGTCTATAAATCTTCAAGGCTGATATCCTATTGTTCTGATCTTGTTATTCTGGGATAAAAATGTGTCTGGTGAGGCTCTTAAATATATATTATTTTCCTTTTTATTCCACAAACTCCACTTGGCTGAGTTTAAACAGTTTGAAGCAAAGCAAAACTTTCAAATAGCATGGATGAAAAGATATTTATTCTGCACCAAACTGATGAAAGCAGCAACTTGTAACTTATAGATCTGGAAGAGCAGCTGTGCACAGAGGTATAAAATCCCTGCTTTTGAGCGAAAGGAAAGAAAGGTACAAAATACAAAATTGGACGCAGGCTTTTGGTGTTATGTTAAGTTCGGTAAAAACATGTTGTTCTTGTAAAGTAAAAGCTGTATAAAAATAAAATGCATTATGTTGTTAAGAAAATGCACTTCTTATAAAACACAGCTACATGAGGGAAAGCTTGTAGATGAAGCTTTGGATAACTATTGAAAACTATTTCCTTATAAGGTCATGCCATCAGGTTGTCTATTCTATTCTTTAGCTATATGTACAGTATATAACTCTGCACTACTACCACAAATATATATATATTTTTTTATTTTGAAAGACTGGAAGCATTTACAGATAGTTAAGTAACATAGCTACTACTGTTTTGTATATTTAGTGTGCTCCCTGTGTGCTCTTACTACTGTCCTGTCTGTGCGCTGCAACAACGAAATTTCCCCACTGTGGGACGAATAAAGGAACTCTTATCTTATTCTGACAGCGTCCAGATTTTCCAGATGAATAAACTGCAATGAAACCTTTGTTGTGTCTGCATTCTTAAAACTAAATTCAATATGAAGTGATGCGACGCTATGTGCAAATGAACAACCATTTAGTTATGAGCCATAAAACCAAGAACTGAAGTAATTGTAACCACATCCATTTGCATTCGAGTGTGTGTGAGGTGAAGATATCGGGAAACAAAGCAAAACAGAAGAAACTCTTGTTGTTTTTGTCTCAGCAGTTTGCTTTCATTAACTCGCAGCTCAATTAAAAACAATCATATTTGGATCAAACCGCAAAAACATCAACAAACAGAGCAGCAGGAGCCGGACTGACGGCATTTGATTCTCTCCGACAGAGTTTTTACAAGTGCAAAATGTAATGCTCTGGAAGTTTCTTTCATCCAAGGGAACGACCACACACAATGTTTAGCGTTTATCAAAAATAATATATAGCTGCTCAAAGAGGCTTCATGCATTCATGAGGTTTTTGTAAAAAGAAAAAGCTAAGTGAAAGCAATATTGTGCAACTTCAAAGTACAAAAAAAAGGGAAAAAGAATATGCTACGTTTTTTTACAAATCAAATGTATTAAAGTTTCATCCAGAAATGTTTGTATAACAATATAATAATCTCTATGACAAGAAGCAGGTGACAGCAGCGAGCTAGGCCAGATTTTTTATTTATTTTTTTCTTGCTCTTTCTTCTTCTTAACATAGAAGTATACGTAAATAAAATAATCGTAATAATTTATAATAATACAAATAATACATTGTCTTGTTTCATTTACAAAAGGGTGTGGGAAGAAGTAAAAATTTATTTAATCCCACCCCTATTTTCAAATGACTCTTTCACCTTCCGAGTCGCTAAATTATCATTTACTATTAAAACTTGAGAACAAAGACAAAAGTAAAATGAAAACATCAATGGTTGTGTATAACTTGCACGCAAACACGCACATCCGTTCACACACACTCAACTAATGTAACTCTGATATTTCGGACAGATTATCTCTTCAAACAGTTCTATGGCGAGGGCATTTCACTCACTTTTTTATTATTATGCTATAAAAAAATCATACTAAATAAATTAAAAATAGGCTGTTTTAGTGTCATAGCGTAGAGTAATGGCAAAGAAACACCATCACCATATCACTTGCATATAAGCGCACAAGTAGCCTCAGTTTGACCGGTCAATATTGTCACATGCCAGTAACATATTGTGAATTCCTCAGTTTGTGTAGTGCATTCTGGATTATCCACAGACTTACCCGGTACATGAAAATGACCTGAGACGTTCCCGTTCGCCCTCCCTCCACCTCTATGTTCACCGTGCCCTGGTTTCGTGGTGGGAACGGGATGTCAGATGGAGGCGTTCGCTTTGCAGGGCCAATTTCACACACCACACTGTCAAACACAGAGCATCAGTCAGAACTGTGAAATGATTATAAACAGCAGCACACACAAAACAACATAGATTTAGATAAGAAAAAATACACTATAGGAATACTGAGCCACTAAGTCCCCATTACTTTTCTATTTAGTAACATGGTTTAAATGGTTGACAGCTCAAGTATCCTTCTGCCCATCTGATATAGAAAAGAAATATAATGTTTGCAATTCTTACACTATGAATGTGATGATACGTTGCTATTTATCAGGGATGAAAAGGTAAAATATTTGGAAAAAGCCTTGTCTTTGGGTATGGAAATGTAAACTACGAGGGTTACTATAGTGCTCAAATAATACTGGTACCTTTGAGTCTATTTCTAAATATTTTTCATAGAATTACAAAATTGTCAAAGACTCCAGGTATATGTATATATATATATATATATGGACATGCACCTCGTGGAGACAGAATATCGATCTTCCTGGTGCACACATTCCACTCCAGCCACAGTGATCTTCTTGATGTCCTCTTTCTTTATGCCCATGTTGGAGCCTTTGATTGTTACCGCAATTTGACCATTGAGGGGGCCGTAACGAGGGATGATCTGAAGGCAAACTCTGAATCAATAACTGCAATAACTGGTTTCATTGAAGAATTAGGAGCCTTACGTCTGTGATCTGGGGGTTTGGACACAGCTCCAGCGGCTGAGACTTGCACAGGTCCTGGTAAACACATGTGTGAGAGGAGGCGCACCACACGCACTGGTACTTGGAGTCGGCGTGTTTACAGAGACTGCAGTCCTCCCTGCCCACGGAGCAGTTATACAGGACCACTACAGGACAGGGACAAAGACAGCGGTCATGGCATTTCAAAGCATTTCAGAGAGTGGCGTTTGGTCACTGCATGTTATGTGTGCATCAAGTGTAGTTTTCACATCAGGATTTATGAGGGGTACCTTTTGCAGCCGTACTGACCTGTCAGAGTGCTGTCAATCTTCTTCTCTGTGCTTTGATCTTTAATGTGGAACGAGACGTTGGTTTCTTGCTGTTTATCAAAGGAAAACTAGAAACACATTACAAAAGAGAAAAACTTCTGTTATTAACTTTAAATTCTCCAAATTCATTTTGACACAATTTGTCTTTTAGTTTAGTCTTAGTTTTGGAAAATTGCTAAAGTACCTTGAATTAAATATGACTCAATGATTTATTGCTACTAAATTATGTTCTTGTCCCCATACCCCTGTTTGAGAAACTGTGAACTCACAGCTCATTAGTGCAATGACTGGAATCACCGAACGGTCTCAGTTGCAAGAGAAGCTGAAAGGTTTTGAGTAAAGGGAAAAAAAACTAGATACTACGGTTGTCATTTTGAAACCAAAATCACACAATGGTCATTCATTCATGAATGCAAAATCAACATGTTGCCATCAGTGCAGTGTGGCGCCACATGGAAGCAGCTCCATGTGCTGAGATTATTTCTGTTTATTAAAGGAATTCATAGAAATAAAGTGACATTTATTACAATTGAATTTGAAGCTTTTTTGGAAATAAAAGTAGATTGATCCAGCACATTTTTGTCTAATTACTACATACAGCAAAGACCAACACAAAAGTAATGAAAAGCCCCTGGCTTAAACACACACTGCTCAAGTGCACTTCTACTCAGCAGGAAGTGAAAATCATTAAGGGACTGGAGTAAGACGAGTGAAAGAACAGAGAAAAGTCACTGACAAAGGCAGTGGGCGGCACGGTGGCTGAGTGGATAGCACTCTCGCCTCTCAGCAAGAAGGTCCTGGGTTCGAATCCCGGCCGGACCAGGGCCTTTCTGAGTGGAGTTTGCATGTTCTCCCCGTGTCTGCGTAGGTTTCCTCCGGGTACTCCGGTTTCCCCTACCACTAAAAATATGTACAATAGGTCTGGCATGCGCCTCCTGTTCGGCGACCCCGCTCCCATCTCTGCCCAAAAATAACAATTGTAAACCGCTTTGTGACTCTGGTCTGTGAAAGGCGGTATATAAATAAAAGCTTAGCTTACTTACTAGGCAGGTCTAGGGACTAAGGGATAAGTCATTATCCTGCTTCTTACGCCAGGGAGAGCAATCAAAAACACACCTCTTTGGAAGAATTAGAGGCTCAGAGTTTTAGCTTTAATTGTAAATCGAAGACTTATATCATAAAATATAATATCATGAGCAGCTTCATTACAGTGTGGACCTTCTGCACCATAAGATTTGATTGTCAAATGTGACGGAAAACCAAGAATGACATGTGCTGCACCGCACCTTTGCGTAACTATGATTCTGTGGAACAGATACAGACATGTCCAACTGCATGAGAAAGCCAAATCCTGTCAGACCTCTGAGGCTAAGTAGGGCAGGGCCTGCTTAAATCTGTAGTGGGAGACTTCTCGGAACAATAGATGCCGAAATAAGGAGGCTGTCCACAACTGTTCTTGTGTCCTTAAGCAAGACACTTCACTCACATTTCCTTTATGAGTCTGCTGTGTGCATGAATGGTTGGTGGTCGGTACCATCCACCACCAACCATGGTTGCCTTGCTTCTGTCTGTGTGCCCCAAGGCAGCCATGACGGTAGTAACTTATCACCAGGGAGTGTGTGTATGCCCTTTGATTGTCCAAAAAAAGTGCTGAATTAAATAAATATGAATAACTAACATATATATATATATATTATAATTATACATTTTATTATTATTGTTATTATGATTATTATGAATACACCTGACACCATTTGTTTATTAGCGTCACCAAAACCAACCTTGTATCCTCTGAACTTGAATTTGGTCCTCTCCTCTTGAAGAACGGGGTGCTCAGTACTCTTCATTAACTCTGTCCCAATGGTAAACCTTTGACCCTACAGCCAGTCATTAGAAGGAGGACACACGGTAAATGAATGTGCAATGCAGCTCATGCGTTATTCAGTACAAGGGCTTGGAAGACGCCTCACAGAATAAATGTCCAGGTTTCGGCCTCGGAAAGTGATGGGGATTTCGAAGCCAACAGGGATCAGCAGAGGCTCTGGAGACTCGAACTGAGGACAGCTGTCGGGCTTCAACACAAGAGCAACACAGGTCAATGTCATGTTCACAATGCATTTAGCAAGCAATGATTTTAGATTGGAATAGTAATAGTAAAAATAAGTTGGTATAATCAGACCTGTTGTGGTTTGATTATGTGGCTCCCAAACACAGTGTCCTCCTGGTCACTGCAGCTGTGCTCCTGGGCATTCCACTGACAGCCCCAGTCACTGGTCACACACGAAATGCACCTGAAGCACACCACAGATGTGTTTAACTTCAACAGACACTGTGTTATACGAGTTTATTTCCAAATAACAAATCTCACGGTGTATTGGGATTCTTTCTGACAGTTGCGGCGCAGTTGTAAAAGTGGTAGTGGCTCGATGTCACCTCTATGTCTGTGTTTACCATGACTCTCACAGGAACAGACACAAAATCTGAAAGAGAAGAAAACTATGTCACTGTAACGATCTACACCAGTTAAGACAGTAGGGGCAAAAAAAGTATTCAGTCAGCCGCCAAGTACTCCCCAAGGTTAGAGATTCCAGTGTTTTCATCATGGGGATACCTCAAATATGAGAAACAAGATCCGGAAAAATAACATTATTTATTTGTAAATCTTTTGTTATTTAGTCAAATGTCCATCTCAATAGTTTGTTATATACCCTTTGTTGACCATGACAGAGGTCAAACATTTTCCGTAAGTATTCACAAGGTTTTCACACACTGTTACTGTATTTTGGCCCATTCCTCCCTACAGATCTCTTCTAGCGCAGTGATGTTTTGGGGCACGGACTTTCAACTCCCTCCATGTATTTACTATGGGGTTGAGATCTGGAGACTGGCTCGGTCACTCTAGGACATTGAAATGCTTTTAACAAACCGTTTCCCCCCTTGTGAGCAAGTCATCTGTATTTATAAAATGTCTTTGACAGAAAGGAAAAATGGAAGTAGGGTCGCCCTTCCAGTCACCAGCCATTAACTCACACATTCCTTTAAACAGACACAAGGAAAACATATGAAAAGCCCTATCTGTCCCAGGAATGGACTCTTTTGCTGTGAAGTACAAGCGCTAAACAGTGCATGTGTCACTCAACTAAACATTAAATATGATTTATGTTTTTGCAGATTAGGTAACCAAGTGATAAATCAGTGTTGATCAAAAGCCAATAATTCCATGTGATTGGTTGAACAATACCCGTGTGTGACATACCTTGCTGTTCTGGAGTAGATGGGATATTTGCTGGTTCAGGCAACGCACAGGTGACGACTTTACTATAACTATCCATCGCTGCTTCACTGGGGTGTCCGTTAAACACACAATGCAGAGAATCATTAGACCTCAGCCTGGGCAGGGAGGGGATGATGATGTCCACCTGTTAATCATAAACATCTATGTAAAACAAAACAAAAACACTTGACCCGCATACTGTAAATGCATAGAAGTAATTCAATAATAAATGTGCTCTTTATTCATCCCCATAGGGAACTTTGTCCTCTGCATTTGACCCATCATGATGCCACTAGGGCGTCTATCAGGAGCAGTGGTCACCGTACGAACACCACTCTGGAACCCATCTACAGAAGTTAATGTTTGGTTTGGTCAGGACTACCGGAGCTGGAGGTTTACCTATTGTGCATGTTTTAGTGGTGGGTGAAACCGGAGCACCCGGAGGAAACCTACTCAGACATGGGGAGAACATGCAAACTCCACTCAGAAAGGCCCAGGTCCTTCTGGTTGAGCAGCGAGAGTACAATCCACTCAGCTAATGTGCCGCCTCAATACATTTCAGAAACAGATTTTAAAGATAAATGTAGGTATTTGTTATTTTTTCACCACATTGCTGTTTAGTCTTGGACAAGATTTGAAGTTTTTTTGACCCAAAATACTATGGGGAAATGGCAAGGATTCCTACAGAACGGACACTACACAAGTCCATAGCGATGTCTCGATGTGCGGCAATGAAATGATTACTATTCAACAATGCAAACGCTGCTTTATATTGTCAAGTTTAACCACCCAAACTTTCTTGCTCTCAAGTAAAGAATTCACCCAGGGATTTTGAGCGAACAGAACTGCAAATATTTTCGTCTTTGCAGATTTAATTCACACACTGGTCCCTAAGTCCCCTGATTAGGAGGAAGCACGCACTCCTCTAAGGGATAGAACCACATTATCGGTTTGCTGAGGTTAAAACCACGTTGGGCCAATCTCTTTCTGCTCTAAAAACGAAGACATCTCTGAGGACGCAAAGGCCATGAAGGAAAGTGCAGTTGTATTAGCTGATAACACCTGTGCTGTCCAGAACGTGTGTTGAGTGCAAATGTCTGCTTTCTGGAGAAATGAAAAGATGATCACAAACGCATGTGTACAGCTGAATGATGCCGTTTCTTCTGCAACCGATTATTATTGTGATTATTGTTGTGATGCCTCAACAGCCGATTCTTTCATATGTTTGTATTTATACAGGGTGAGGTTCAATGAGAGTGCCAGACGCTCTTTTTCATGAACATACACAAAGAGAAAGACAATAAAACACACAAACAACAGTGCAATTACAATAGACCAGTAAAACAAGTCTAAAACCAAAAAAATGGCACCAGCATGTCCAATTTTAACAAAGTTATTACCGATATTTGCAGCAATTTTGCCATCACAATATTTAGAGGACAATTTTTTCCTTTTAAGAAAAATATATCTCCTGCTAGCACCATAATGTCCTGTTTTTGTGACAGGCATGAATAAACATGTATTATTATTATCTTTATCTCTGATCAACATCAACAACACATGGAATAATTCATCCGGTTATTGCCATTTCTGTGAGTCAGCATCATCATTCCGTGTGCGAAAGTTGAGAAATCGCTGCTTTAGAGGCTTTTAAGTTGCACTCATTAGTAATGCTGCAGACGGGAGGGGGTTTAAGGGCCGCAGAGCTCGGCACACTCTGAGCTCAGTGCTGCTCGCGGGGGTTAGGGATGAGAGAGCTTGTTCTTTCCCGGTAACATCCTCTCACCTGCTGGGTCTTCCTGCAGCTGATGTTCGGGGGAGAAAAGGCCTTGATCTCGACGCATTGCTGATTCGGAGACCACAACCAGGTGTTTTCATCCATGGACCTGCCACACTCCTGCTTGCGGGTGCACCTGTTGTTCAGACCCAAGCACGTTAGTTTGAATGTGAATCGTTTACACACTGGTCTTCAAACCGGTCCTCAAAGGGCAATTGAGGCTGCAGGTTTTCATTCCAGCTGAGCAGGAGCAGTTTGAAGACCACTGGTTGTGGAGGGACAACCCAAATTTATAAAGTTTCAGCCCAGATGACAGGTTGGAAGTAGCCTTTCACTAAAACATAAGATTTGACTCAACCTTTGCATCGTTTTTATTTTTTGTGCATGTAATATGCAGATAACTTTGTGTTCATGCCCTAGTTAGACATGGGCAGCAGAAAACTACCATATGAACCACCGATTGCATTACACCCTGCATATTTCTATTTATGTGTAAAATGTGTTTGTAAATGAGACTTACTTTCCCTCGAGCACACACCATCCACAGTACGGGTCTTTCAAAGTGACACAGGAATGACAGTCGGTCTTCAGATGACACGCCTGAACCGGAACTTTGCTGATCTGAAACAGCAATAATTACACTCTTGTGAATGTGTCATATCAGGTATTCTAAACCATGACCAATGAGACACAAACATAGATATTAACCTCTAAAAATAAAGTAAATATGGAAAAGAACACAACAAATCAGTGGTATATTCAGTCCCCACCCAAGCTAGCCTGGCCTTAGCCATCCGTACCCTCCAGTCAATAATCATTTCACTGAATGTAACGTCTGGGTCTGGTCCCTGTCCTTGCGATTACATCGCTAGAATTCCGATTCCAAAGGAGGTGGCTAGGCTAAATGCTATATGCTAACGATTCACTCGGGCGCACTACAAACGTCACAGTAAACTCAGATCCAAGCGTTTCAATCTTCAAAAGGAGTTAACCCTGTTAACGGAGCTCAATGGAGCACCTCCAGACCTTAGTACAAAATGTAATTTGTACTGTGGTGTGGTACGACCAGGCTATAGTCAAGCTAATTCTGTTCTAATCATATGCAGAGTTTTCTCCTCTTTCTAAAAGGTTTTGTATTTTCTTTTAACCAGCCGTGGATCTCTTTCAGACACACAGCTGATGTAATACATATAAATGAGCAGATGGAACAAGTCCAAGTATTGTCTCTTGACTTGATCAAAGTGAAGGGCCCATGACAAGTACATTCTAATTAATTCATTTCTAAATCAATAACATCAATTTCACCACAGCCAAGAGTGATGGCGACAAAAAGATGAAAGGACAAAGGCGAGAAGGATGGATGAAGTGGGAAACAAAGCCCGCTGCCACGGAGAAAATTAATGAATAAATAAATGGACAGCTTCTGTGTGGCAATGCAGACTGATGTACTGGGGTTACTCAAACAACTGAATTTATGATCAAACACGAGAGATAAAACTAATGAGAGATCCATTAAGTCACAGACAACTCACAGAAAACAATGATGTATTGCTGGATAAAAGAGATGCTTGTGACCTTGGTGGTGTGAAACAGAGGAGCAGACAGAAAGTGGAAGATGGATCTGATGTAACGTTAAATCAATCAGCCGCTGTCTGAACGCCTGACCTTCTTCTCAGTGGTAATGTACAGATGCTGAAGGCCGGAGTCAAACAGCAGGTCCTTGTTGACCTTATCTCCTGTCGCTTCAGCCAGTGTTTGTATGTTCCCCTCTGAGGGGGCCGAGAGGTGGACCTTCAGAACCTAAGACAAGACAAAACGACACAATCAGCAGCTAAATTTACCTGAGCGACATTTGACTGGAGAAATTGAAAAAAAAAAAAACATATATACGGCTGTATCTTTCAGAGCCTGCCAATATGGATATGCAGGGGACTTTCAATAAGATATGATTGGATACAATATATTGAGATGCTTTCTACAACATTTCAACAAAGATACACAGTTGCTGCATTTATATTTAATTTCTTGAAGATGAATTGTAATCGAAAATCAAAATATATAGGGTTTTTAAATATTTTTTGGTGACACATTAGAAAAGCCCTCACTACTTCACAGCAAAAGAAGTGCCGAGTAGTGTACCTTAACTCTGGCCCAATCCCTAACCCCCATGGGAAAGTGTCAGATAGTCGTTACTTAGATGAAATTCTTAAATAAGGCCATGCAGAATAAGGTCTAATAAGTGCTTAAAAAAGACCAATTAAGAACAAATTAACCATAAATTATACACTCACTTAATTAGCTGTTAATTAGTGAGGGCTAAACTAAAGTGTGTGACAGATTTTTTTAATAAAAAAAGAAAATTGGGGGAAAAAACAAAAAGTTGTATCAAATTAAGAAATGCGTTCATCATGAGGCATGGTGAACAAAATATGTCAGTATTTATTTCCACTGCCATACACAGACGTATGGAAGTGGAAATAAATACGAATTTCAAGATCCGACTGTAGGGTTATGGATGAAGGCATATTTATTTTCAGTAGTAGTGATTATGGAAAAATATCTAGTAGTACGCATCGTGTTGGTGCATCTACAACTTTGTAAAGTCCTCCGAGATATCTGCTATTGTGATTTAAGGCTATAAAAGTAAATTGAATTGATTTTGAAATAAATATGGCCAATCCAACTAACATCTTGTCACAGTTCTACAGTTCCATTTCAACAATATTACAAGTTGTACCTCTCCAGTGGATGTCCCGAGGAACGCCACAGCATGCCCCATTTCAACAGCGACCGCCACAGCCGTCATTTGGCCCTTTCGGGTAAATGCAGGCTCCGAGCTTAAGGCAAACTCAGCCTTACTGGCCAATGGTGAAGGCAAAAACTCAGCTCCACACTTATATTTAAGACCCATGTTGTTCTGATGAAGAACAGAATGAATTAGTTTAGATAGTTAAAATAAATATATACTCCATTTTGTTTTGCACACCTGGTTATTGTTAAGGCACAACTCCTCTGACTTAGAGGAATAGGGAGAGTATACTGCAGGCTTGTTTTTGATTATTCCGCTGTAGCTATAGCAAGCATCAATGATCTCAACCAACCTATTATTAATGGAGCGCAGGGGATACATACCTGCAACACAAGAAAAGCACTTGCCATGACCTTCTACAACACAAGCTAGAAAACACTGGTATGATACTAAACGATGCTTTTAGACAATAAATAAAAGGAACACATGAAATGTCAGTGAAGGGCACTTACACATAGCAGAGTGATGTGAATCCTCGTCTGAGGTGAACGTTACGAACAGCACCTTGTCTGATGGAAAAACCTGCCCATACTGGTTTGATTTGGTCATATTTTGTGCCAGGACTTCTCCTGGTGTGGACACATAGGCAGCCTGGGGATAAAAGGTTATATACAAGTTATAGTCTGACTATGTGATCGCTTATTGCATTCCTCAACTGTCCCACTCGCAGCCAGGAAGTCCAATACCTGCTTCTTGTGTAATAGATGTGTTTCTGCTTTTCTAAAAATATTTTTTAGTTTAAATCATGCAAGTCCCGATATGATGGAAAACATTTTTTAAAGCACAAAAGTTTTTAATCATTATTAACTTGCTTCTCTCTAACTTTCGAGTGAAGTTACGTGCTTGTTCTCAAAGTAAAATGAAAGTTTTATGACTATAAATATTCTAGCAAAACAACAGCAAAAGCGGCCCCAGCACCAGGACAGTTGAGGAATGCACCGTTACATTTATTAGTTATGTGTTTCATACCTGGACTTTGTTGTACTTGTTTGAAAGGCTGCAGTTCAGCTGGAGCTCTGTATATGAGTAGTATCCTTGGTCATCCTCACACATTCTGGAGATGAATGTGAAGTTTTTAGTGTCCTGGACTCCTAGCGTCCGAGAGAAAAGGAAGTAGACAAAGCCACCATCTTTAAAGGCAAAGCGAAAGTCGTGCAAGTAGCGCAAGACAAAGGGGTTCGCCTGCACTGCAGAGGCCTCAATAATACTGTCGAAAACCACCCAGTCTCCATAGTCCTGCAGGATACGTGTGGAGATCAGCTTGGTGCTGTCATGGCTCCCGTAGCCCTTCCCCACCTGTGCACAGAACACATTAAGTATATTTTATATAACATCATGCAGAGTGAAGTCATGCTTTACATGAAAAGTCATGATGTTCTTAATCAGATAGTTCAAACTTCACAGTAATTAATGTAATGCCCTACTAATCCTTAGTCATGAAGGTGAAATGTCTGTTCAGACTCACAATATACACATTTTCACACAAATCAGATAACAGGATACAAGATCAAAATTTGTAAAATGACCCAGTCAGCACTAGCTAAAGATAATTATATGATATGTTTGGATGACTGACCAGCCCAAAGAGATGAGATGGGTTAAAACAAAGACTACGGATTATTTCAGGGCTGACAGAGTCCTCAAGGAGGCCAATAATCATTAAATAGAACCAATATTTGTGTAAAGCAAAAAGGAACATTTTTGTGGCAACATTTTTTTTTTTTACAATGCCTGAAGCATGTGTTTATGTAACAAAGCCTGTATTTCATACGTTTTAATCCAAACAAAGTTAATTATTCCCAAAAGAAACCAAACTAATAAGACAGTGCTGTTCTGGAGTAGACTAATAAATGTTTGTTTGTAGTTGGGTTGTATTCATGGCTGTTTCGACCAGTAGCAGGATATCATTGACCAATATATTGATATTGGTCGATATCGGCGCTTATCTATGTATTGAGTTATTTTTTCTTTTCTGGTGCCTACATTTGTGCAAGAATTATTTAAACCAAATTAGGCATCATGTGCATACTTTCTGTAAATGATACAAACTTCTAAACAACAAAGGATTTATAAAGGATAATCAAAGGTTTGCATTCCACTGTATAGGTTTATCTTACCAAAAACACAGTAAAGTTGTCTCTGTCCTTCGTAAAATAGGACATGACGGCAACTACTGACACCGCCTCCTCTGCGCTGGCCACGTAGGACTTCTCTCCTTTGGTATCGCTGAAGTAAAGCCTCTGCTCCACGTGGCTCAGGTTCCTCAAAGAGCAGATGCCCCTGAACACGCTCCCGCACACCACCAGAACCTCTTTGGCACTGTGCACCAGCAATAACTTGTTGTGATTGTCCGTGTCCACTGCCTCCTCACAGGCATCAGTGACCGGGGGCGTGCACTGGCGATTGTCCCGCTTGGGTCCAGTTTCTGTCTGGGATTCCACTTCCAAGTTAGAGTTCAGCTGATAAAGGGCATTTACGGCTCCGACATAAAGGCGGCCCGTCCGAGGATCTGCTGCCACGTTGTTGATCAGAGTGTTTGAGAGAAAGTCTTTGTTTTTGGCATGTGAAGTGGAGAGGAATGCTGTGGCAAAGATGAACAGGGCAAACAGGTCTGCCCACCACTGCCCCATCATGCCTGCAGAAGAGAAAAAGGAGATTCTTTAGTAATGGGAGAATATTGATTTGTTCATTCAAATGCTGTAGGAATTATGAGCGAAAAACATTTAATAATCGCTAATAAAAGTTATATGATATATTCTGTTTTAAAATAACATTATTTTCACCAAATATCATGGCCATCATCAAACTAGTGCCAGTCAGGGCAGCAACCAGTTGTAGCAGAACTGTTTTGAACCTGGATTTGAACATTGTCAGAGAAGAAGCCTGTCTCACATTTTCAGGAAGACTGTACCAGATTGTAGCTGCATATATCTGAAATGCTGCCTCCCCATGTTTAGTTCAATCAATCAATCAAATTTTATTTATAAAGCGCTTTTCATACAAAAAGTGTAACACAAAGTGCTTTACAGTTTAGTTAAAAACAATCCAACATGCCCAGCCCTAAACCCTCCTCCCCACAGACCCCCCAAAATCACATTTATAATTATATATACAACCACATGCGTATACACACACACACACACACACACACACACATGTACACACACACACACACACACACATATACACACACACACACACACACATATACACAAGTGTAAAGTCATATCAGGTAAAATAGGTAAAACAATAAAAAGAAATGGGGCTGGGAGCAGATGTAACCGGCTGAAGAAGCGTCATCCAAGGAGCCATCTGCACCAGGAGCAGAGAGCCGGCTGCAGCCACAGGCAACGACACAGGACCCAGAGGAGAGAGGGGCCCCAGACCCCACCAGGCCCAGGACTCAGACCCCATAGGACCCAGAGGAGAGAGGAGGCCCCAGACCCCCACCGGATCCAAGAGCCAGTCCCCCGAAGCCACAGCAGACCCCAGCTCTCAGTGCAGAGGGCTCCTCCAGAGGAAACACTGGGGACACTAAAACAATACAATAATACAATAGAAAGTAGAACAATAGAATGTGAAAATAAAAAGAAAAATGGCAGCTGCCTAATATAATAACAATAGTAAATGGGTAGATACAATAAATAATTAAAAATAGTAAATAATAAAAATAAATAAAAATATAATCCGTCTAAAAACATAAATAGATGTACTAAAAAGCAATAATAGATAATAAATACTAATCAAAAGCTGCTCTAAAAAGGTGCGTCTTGAGCCTACTCTTAAAAATATGAACGTTCTCTGCGGCCCTGAGCTCTGACTCTGGGCACTAACAGGACGCCAGTCCCTGTGCTCCTCAGTGTCCGACTTGGTTCATAAGCCACTAACATGTCTCGGATGTACTTTGGTGTGAAATACTAGCCCCACATGTTTCATCTTTCAGTCTCTCTTTTTATAAACAGCCAGACGTGCAACGAGTTTGAATTATTTACTCATGGAATTAGCTGGGCCATAATAACACGACAATTGACTGATGACTTATGGTTTTTGCCATCTCACTCCCATTTCTTCTATTTGCATTTTGACAATATTATTACAAGTTCGATCGAGCAGTGTAAAAGACAAACGTTTACACTTTTTCACAGGTTTTATCATGAAAGAGCAGGATAGTCCAAACCAGTTTTATTAATTGACTTTTAAACTGACCTTTAAACAGCAGAATTAAGCAATAATTCAGTCATACATGAATAATAGAAGCGATCCATTCAACCCACAGCTATCTAAAGTCAATACTATTTTTTTTTATAGAGCCTTACATTAAAGAATCAAATTAAAGAATCAATAATCACAAAATGAAACAATAACACCATTTGTACAAGCTAAAAAGTTCTCATATTTGTAGACAAACCCCAAAATACATATTATACAATCAGTTAGTGAACGATTAGCAGTTCTGCGACATGTCTAATGGTAATGCAAATATTCCAACAAAGATTCAAACAGTGCTTTTGACATTGTGCAGAGGTGGTCTCAGCAGTGGCAACAGCGGCATGCACTCAAGTAGAAGTCGGGAGCTCTAGCGCTGAGAGCAAAGGAAAGCAATAATGAGCAGATTCTCATTAAAAGCCTGAACATTCAGTACCGCAGGAACAAGGGAGGTGGAGTAAGTGGAGGTAGTGGCCTTGATGTGAAGACTTGCTGAGCTAGATTAGATTAGCCCGGACAAAGGCACAGAGTGGATGTATGTGTGCGCAGAAGAGACTGAGTGTTGCAATTAGCCGTCTGACACCGCAAGTTTCTCCTTCCATTAGTCTGGATGGCTATGTTTAATTATGGTCGTGGCTGGCCCATGGCTGTAAACAAGACTCCAACGTTCACTAATAACATCTTTCCGTACCCAGCATCACTTTTAATCCAGTGTTTATTGGGTTATTCGCGCAGAGATGCGGTCTATAATTGTCCATACAGTGAATGCATGATAGAACGCTCTCCCATTACATTTTACCAGCTCGCCTGAATTAAAAAGGCATCATTTATTCACAGTTTTTTCTGTTTAAGGCCTTTACGGTCCAATCACTGATTTTATAGCTTCCATCAGACAGCTCTGATTGGTGGTCAATTGACTGGCGCCTCTCTGCTGTTTTTATTCTAAATTGAATTCCCTTCACTTGCCCTCATTGCAAAGGGATTTATTAGTATAAAAAGACTTATCTCTACACCCACCTGCCTGCCTAAATTACCTGTCCTCACATAACCAGAGCCGCTGCACAGCTGCAGTTTTACACGCACACACACATACACATGGAGATGCACAAATTTCAATATCTTACCGCTCAACTTGACAAATGCAAAACCATCTTTTTGCTATAGTTCAAAAAGAACTTTCACTTTCATAAAACGTGGTGCAAAATAAGCTGTATGTGCTTCTGTTAACAATAAAAACTATTTTTATATATGATCAATTATGTGAACATTGGCTGAGTGGATAGCACTCATACTTCACAGCAAAAAGGTCACCTCTGGCCTTTATGTGGCATTTTCAGTTTCTCCTGACCAAGCCGAGCGCCAACATGTGGAGCATGTGGAGCAGCTAAAGCGACCACTGCTCTTCCTGACAGGATGCCTGAGTGGAATTGAAGGACGAGTTGAATGAATTTCCAACGCAGAGTTACAATACAATACAATACAATACAATTTATTCTTGTATAGCCCTAGGTCACAACAGAAGTCATCTCAGAGGACTTAACAAAACCATTGAAATCCCCAACACAGGTCAGAGAATCAACAGTTAAAACACATGAAGAATATAAAGCACACACAGAAGAAAATGTCCATACATGTTGTAGAATGCTAAAGTGTCCTGATCATCACCAATCCTTTCTGTTGGACACCAATTGTCCAACAAGACCCTCCTGCATCGACAAGGAAAAACTCTTAAAAAACCCAGTGGGAAAAAGTGAGAAACCTTGGGGAGCACTAGGGAAACCCACAGGGAGGGAGACCCATATGAGAAAGGGATCCGCTCCTCCGGACGGACAGGCTAATGATCTAGGACCTAAGCTAGCTACAGAACGTGGACCAGTGGCCGCTGAACGTGGACAGGTCCGGTGCAGGACCGAAGCACTCCCAGGCGGGTCGGGTCAGTTACCTGCTAAATGTACAATCTATCACTCACGGCAATACAATATTAACCCTCACCAGGCAGGCGTTGCAGATTTGCAACAACTTAATTTCTTATTACCTAACCTTGACCCTTTTTACTCAGAAGTACCACTGCTGGACTTAGACGAGCTTTAGCAACACAGTTTTCCACCTACTCACCAGGGGTCAAAGCTGTCTCACTTCCATGATGTCAGTCTCCATGGTTTCACCTAAATTGGTTTTCTAGGCATCAATTTTAAGTCAGTAGTACCAACCTCAAATCATTTGAGACCCAAACTGCATAGAATGAAAGATGAATACATATAGATTCAGGACATGCCAGCTCTATTGACCACAGTGGGCCATTGTTGTAAATCTGCAACCTGCAGAATGCATTGCCTGTGAAGGTCTCTCTCTCAAAAATCAGGATTGTATATTACTACCCAATATGATAATTTCCCCCTTATATCAGATTTGTCCTGTCATTTAAATTTAATTGAATTCTGAGAGGGTTAAAAGTCTAATAACAAATACTAATCTGAGTGTTACTCCTCTCTCTAGCACCATTTCCCCTCATGGTCAATGCTTCATTAAGACTGAATCATCCACTCTGCCAAAGGTCTAGTGATCACACATTTAGAGACAGCTCAGTCTACATCCCTCACTATAAAACGTCATATATTCACATAATTTCACATCTTCAGTCTTGTAACTCCCAGAGGTCTTGTTGAGAGGCTTTTCATTTACACCATCAAAGAAAATGCACCTCCGGTTTGAGTTCAGGGTCAGTTTGTGCTCAGTCTTTGTGATGCTTTATTTTATCCTGTTGGCTGCGTTCTTAAAGCTGGACTCCCGCCGGTCCCAAAATAAACAAGGTGTCAAAGGTGTTTCTTCTACACCGCTGCTTCGGAGAGTTCTTCTCGTTCTGCTGCATTGTGCATTGATTCTATACACTATACACATCAGCACACATTTTGAGTTAACGGCCTGTCCGGCACATAACACTTACACAAGACATTCAGACTGAAACTGCATTTGGCAAAGTGAAAACCAAGACAAAATGAGTGCTGCAGAATAAGTGTGGATTCATTTCACTCATTGAAGTTTGAGGAAAATTTATAAGCGTTTTCTCACTATCCGATCTGGTGCAAAAAGACACATGAATACTATGATAGGCACTAATATCTGTGGCATTAAAATCCAGTGTGCATACTTGGAAATGTCCTGCGCGTTGACCCTTCTGCTAAAAACTTTGGAGTGAAACTAAAACCAGGAATGTCTGCAAAGCTTCAGCCAGGGGAATACAGGCTGACTGATTCTCTCTCTTGCTGTCTAACCTAAGCCCTACTGCTTCCAACTTCTCTCTGCCTAATTCCCGATGTGCTTTGGTCTTTCTGGCTCCATGTTCCACTGCAATGGTCAATCTCTTTTTATATCTGGTCCCAATGGAGTTAGTTCAAACAACTTTCATTTCTGCAGGCACTCAATATAG